TTTGGCTTTTATCTACTTTAGAAGATGAGTAGCTCAAAAGGAAGTCACTCTAATATTTAATAATATAAGTAAAAAAGAAGCTGATATAAGAGTTCTTATATATATATACACACATGAAAAGCCAAACACCCTGGAAATGATACACATCTTTTACAGTTTACAAAAATCCACTATGAAAATAAGAAATTCAAATCCGGGCTTTTAGAAAGACAAAGTGTCAATTTTTGTAGTTTACTTTCTGTATAATAAAGTGAGTTAAACTTAACGACAAAAGTACGCCTAGTTCCAAAAATACAGTTCATTTTTTTCTGAGTGTATGTAGGTGGAAAGTTTCTTCAGGCCACAGTTAGGACTCTGCTCTGCTCGTGCGGCGCTGCTTATTCCGCTTGACTGATTGCAGCGTCTTTGTCTCTGCCACAGCAGGAAGTGACTACACGTGTGTGCGTGTGTGTGTGTGTTTGGGTGTATGTGAGTGTGTGTCACAATGTGTGTGTATGTTATCTAAGTTTGTTTGAATAAACTTAAGCGAATGTTTTGTAAGAAGATTTCCTTTATTGTTGGCGGACTTCTCTCTATCTCTCTATCTCTCTGACTCTGGCTCTGGTTTACAACTACATTTGACAGTTCTAGCTGGTCTTCTTGTGGCATGCAAACGTTGGCGTTGCAGCTTCACCAAAACTTTGCACGTCCCATCCTGTTTCATGTGGCACACACTGTGGGTATCATTGACTGGCTGACGAGTCTCGCCCGAGCACTTGAAGCCATTTCAAGTTCAGTTTTGCATGCCGTTCGACAAGGATTGGTTTGCTCGAAGTTCCTTTTGGCTTCGTTTGCCATAATGCCACATAATGCCAAATCGATTGTTAACCATAGCAGCGGACAGAGTACAGAGCACTTGAGCCAGCAGACAGCAGCAGTCACTGTATCATAATAAAATATCTAATTTTGCCAATTGCCGGACAAACACACTCAAATGCAAATATATACAAACAAACAGAGAGAGAAATAGAGAGAGAGAGAGAGAGAGAGAGGGAGAGAGAGAGAGCAGCAAACCGGCAAACCAAAGGCTTAAGTCCTGACCAGCTGTGTTATCTGTGTGGCATCGATTGTGAAATAATATTTAATGACCGTGAAATTATATAGTATGCTAAACTGAAATTTGGCTTAGAGCTGAACATAATCGTTCATAGTTCACTCGTTCGATCTTCTGAGCGAACTAACGAAAACATAAAAATACAAATATACAGTTAGACTTTTATAGAACATTTGTATAACTGTATATAGATTATGTTGCTCATAAGCATATGTATAACTCTAAACATAATCCATTAAAGAAGTTTTGTTCATTTGGAGTATCCATTCAATTGAACTGATTGTGAACGAGTCGCGACAACTCTTAAACTGTATTTGTTTTTGGGCAAGTCTTTAGTTTTTATGGTTAGACTTTTGTACAATAATCATATTGTGGCTTGTTGGTTCCATATTCGGATACTAAAGCTGATTAGCAATGAGTGCAGATAGCTGAAGCAAATGATTGCAAGTAATATAAATTCAAATAAATACACAATCATAAAGAGCAAAGCATATTGAGTGCTTAAAATGGCAAATTGCTTAATGCTACAACTAGCTAATTGTTAGTTTAATGGCCTAATTAAAATCATATATTCTGAGATTCACTGAGAGAAAGAGTTATAAATAGAAAACGTTTGCAATTAAATTGCAGTGACTTTTCTATTTCAGTGACAGTATTTGTTATGCTGCCGCAGGTTTTGCTTGAGTTCTGTCCGCCATCAATAAATTCAACTCTTGTTATTGCTGTTGTTTGTTTTCCACTCCTCACATGAGACATATATATATATATATATACATATATAGTGTATATATAATATATTCAGCGCACACATTGGACAGACTCTTAAAATGGCCATAAAGCAAATTGTGAAAAATTATTGTGTATATAAAATTTAATGACATGTCAAAAAGGATATCCGGCATACGGCCATTGCCGACACTGACGAGCAGCACAAACGGCAAATGGCAAAACGGAGCAACTGGAGCAAAGAATGGGCGTCGCTGACAACGTCAATGTCTGAGTCCTTGTCCTGGTCGCCCTTGTCCGCGTCCTTGATATCTTTTTCGTTGGCGTGGATTGCACACTCAGAAAAGAAATCGAACTGAATTTTTGAAATTCGTCATTATTCCTCATTTTCTATTTCTAGATTTTTTAAAACCAGAATTTGTGTTTTTTAATATCTGAGCGGATTTCTATAAAATTTAGAAAAATATGTATAATTTTCAGGGTTTTGTTGTCTACGTGCTTTCTTAGCTTTTAAGTTACTTATACTTTTAATAAACTTTTGTAGTTTAATATATTCACATATGTAAAACGGTGATATACATTTTTAGACAAATTTAGAAGCATCTCCATATTTCAAATTTGTAAAAAAAATGGTTTCTTTTGCTTAAAAATTATTTCCAAAAATGAAGAAAATGATACTAGTTTTGAGCCAGTTTTTTTCTGAGTGTATTCGTGGCTGATATATGTAATGTGTTGTAAGTCCTGTTACACACATATATATATGACGCTGACAATTTTAGTTTAGTTGTTGTCGTTTTTGGTATTTACTTCTTACTTCTTCGAGAGAAACAGCACAAACATAATCGAGCGCAACTTTATTATTTTGTCGAACAACAACAACATCAAAAGTATCGTGTGTGGGTTAGATTTTATGCCTCCAACAACAACAACCAACAGATATGTCCCTGTCTTGTGGTCGTTATGGCCGTCATCATTACGTTTTGGACTGGTCTCACTTGGTCTGGTCTGGCGTGGTCCTGTCTTGGGTGGTAGAGAGCTGCACATTTTATAGTTTTGAAAACTCACAAAAATGTCAATTGCTTGTCATGTGCGCTCTGCCCGAACGCCAAATGGCATTGAATAAATTATATTGTGGCCATAAAGTTGCTGCTGCCACAGTCACAGTAACAGCCACACATCCTGGTCCTGGGCTTACTTAGTAATGCTGCCAACTGAGAGCAACCCAAGCCAAGCCAAGGAAAGTACTCCCCGCCCGTTTATTTGCATGTGCATGGCGGCTAATCAGCCGCTGAGCTGAACAAAATTGATTTTTGGCGTTCAAATTGCTAGCCAGCATTTGAAGGGGAGAGTTTTGAGACGAGTGCTGCTTATTAGATCACCCTCGGCAATAGCGTAATAAATGCTGAATTATGACAGACAAAAACCAAAACGAAAAAGAACCGAAGAACTCTCAGTTTTTGAACTCAAGACCTTTTGAATTTTAATCAAGCTAAATATTGAAGCAGTTGTTGCTTTGCTCTGCTCAACTTTGGGCACATTACGAGACTCGTATTTTCACTTTCATTGCGCTGTTTATGTAGTCAACTTGAAGGACTTCTCTCGACTGGCTGGCCTTGCTTCTTCTCCTTGTGTTAGGATGTGTTAATGTGCCACGCTTGAATGGCGCATAAATTTCTTTATGCGGTTTTTTATGCTCGCCTCTTTCCTTTGTCAATGACGGGATGAGAGTCTGTCGACTCGACTCGACTCGGTCTGCGGACACTCGACCCTCGATCGAGTAATTGAAAATATTTGAAATAATTCATAAAATTTTATGTGATTTCCGCTTTGAAGTTCGCATTTTTTTCTCGTATTTTCTCTGTAGGCAAGGCCATTAAAATAGTTTGCTCTGAAGCTATCGGTCGCGTATAATTCAGAGCGTTGATAATTGTTTTAATGATGTCATAACGTCGCCTTGATAGCACCCTCTCTGATTTATGAGTATGTCTCTAGTGGTCGCGTTTTCTCTTTTTTTTCATTTCGAGTGCCGTCCCGAGGGTGCTAGATATAGTTACAGTTGTATATATACTATATAAGCATGAAATGTTATCCGACATGTGTGTGTGTGAATAAGTAACCCGTTTCTTTGGCATTGCATGATTTATGTGTATAAAGAGTCAACAAAAAAGAAAAGAAAACGCATGGTGACCATGTGGGGCACCACCTGAGTGGGTTGGTTGGGTTGGCAAATTCCTGCTAACCACTTGAAAAACGGTAAATAAGTTGTCTAACCACACATTAAACCAATTTGGCACTGCACAAAAGCTGCCCACAGTCTGGCCGTCTGTCCGTCTGTCCGTCTAACTGGCACCTTGGCTTTCACTGGATTCTTTTTTATTTTCCTTATACATATATATATCACGATTGCTGGGCGCCATAAATCATAGGAAGGGCCACGTATGTGACTACTTCAGCTAGGGGATCGATAAATTATTATTAGTTGGCCGGCCGCTGCTGAGCTGTTTTGGGGGCGCGTGCAAAGGAAGTTGTTAGACCCCCAAAAGGCGAACTGACCGAAATCCGAGCCGCTGCGGTTCAAATGCCTTTTAACTTAACAACTTTTTCTGCCAACACCAAACAGCACACACACACTCGCTCACACACAACTTTGTCGTGTTGTTAGTAGTGTTGTCCGAACAAAACCCTTAACGCCGTGTGTAAAGTGGACTTGACATGAGATTAACATCTTCAAAAGCATAGCTTAAAGTATTTGTTGGAGTTCGTTGAAGTTACCCCGACTAAAGGCCGGGTGTTGGTCCGGGTCCGGGCCGGGTCAGTACCATTCCCGGTCCCTTTTTGGCTGCCGTCGCTGCTTTTGGATAATTGCGTTCTTGTGCGCTGAGCCATGAGCTTAACTGTTGCTGTCATAACTAAGCGAAAAGGTATACAATTTATGAAAACGTCGAGCACTCCCAGCCAGCAGCCACCAGCCAGCCGCCAACCAGGTGTGTGCGGCTGAAGCCTCTGAAACAAACAATGACCCACGCCATGTGTATATTATAACAATTTCAGTTGGATTTATTTCGTTGATTTCAATCGCTAAATAATGGCAAAACAGACGGCTTACTTACGACCTAGTAGGTATTGGTGAGGGAGGGGCAAATGGTTCTAATCGTAAACAGTCAGCGACCAGCTTGCAGTATTACAGCGCACGACGACGACGCAGCTTCAGACGATGCACAGTCTTGTATTGGTATCCATCGTCACCAAGAACAGCCGAGTCCTGCGTAATTTCCTTAACGGGAGTTTCAGGAGCAACTTCCTCAGAGGGAGGCAGATAATCGTTGGCAATCTCAGACACATCACGACGTTGACGGTACTTAAGACGGCGCTTTACTGGTTCACCAAGAACAGCCGAGTCCTGGGCAAGTTCCTCAACTGGAGGGTCAGCGGAAAGTTCCCCGAAAGGGGAAAAAAAAATTTTTAAAAATCGAGAAAAAAAAAAAATAAAATAATTTAAAATTGTACTGGTATCCATCATCACCAAGAACAGCGGAATCCTGGGCGACCTCTTCAACTGGAGCTTCAGTAGAAACTTCTTCTGAGGGAGGCAGGTATTCATTGGCAATCTCGGAGACATCTCGACGCCGGCGATACTTCAATCGACGAACTGTTTTGTATTGGTATCCATCATCACCAAGAACTGCCGAATCCTGGGCGACTTCTTCAATGGGAGCTTCAGTGGCAACTTCCTCAGTGGGAGGCAGGTAATCGTTGGCAATCTCGGAGACATCACGACGTTGTCGGTACTTAAGACGGCGCACTGTCTTGTACTGGTATCCATCATCACCAAGAACAGCGGAATCCTGGACGACTTCTTCAACTGGAGCATCAGTAGAAACTTCTTCTGAGGGAGGCAGATATTCATTGGCAATCTCAGATACATCACGACGTTGTCGGTATTTCAATCGACGAACAGTCTTGTACTGGTATCCATCATCACCAAGAACTGCCGAATCCTGGGCGACTTCTTCAATGGGAGCTTCAGTGGCAACTTCCTCAGTGGGAGGCAGGTAATCGTTGGCAATCTCGGAGACATCACGACGTTGACGATATTTAAGACGGCGCACTGTTTTGTACTGGTATCCATCATCACCAAGAACAGCTGAATCCTGCGCGACCTCTTCAACTGGAGCATCAGTAGAAACTTCTTCTGAGGGAGGCAGGTATTCATTGGCAATCTCGGAGACATCTCGACGCCGGCGATACTTCAATCGACGAACTGTTTTGTATTGGTATCCATCATCACCAAGAACTGCTGAATCCTGGGCGACTTCCTCAATGGGAGCTTCAGTGGCAACTTCCTCAGTGGGAGGCAGGTAATCGTTAGCAATCTCAGACACATCACGACGTTGACGGTACTTAAGACGGCGCACTGTCTTGTACTGGTATCCATCATCACCAAGAACAGCCGAATCTTGGGCAACTTCTTCAACTGGAACTTCAGTGGCAACTTCCTCAGTGGGAGGCAGGTAATCGTTGGCAATCTCAGACACATCACGACGTTGACGGTACTTAAGACGGCGCACTGTCTTGTACTGGTATCCATCATCACCAAGAACAGCGGAATCCTGGGCGACCTCTTCAACTGGAGCTTCAGTGGAAAGTTCCTCGGAAGGGGGCAGGTAATCGTTGGCAATCTCGGAGACATCTCGACGCTGGCGATACTTCAATCGACGAACTGTTTTGTATTGGTATCCATCATCACCAAGAACTGCCGAATCCTGGGCAACTTCTTCAACTGGAACTTCAGTGGCAACTTCCTCAGAGGGAGGCAGATAATCGTTGGCAATCTCGGACACATCACGACGTTGACGGTACTTAAGACGGCGCACTGTCTTGTAGTGGTATCCATCATCACCAAGAACAGCGGAATCCTGGGCGACCTCTTCAACTGGAGCTTCAGTGGAAAGTTCCTCGGAAGGGGGCAGGTAATCGTTGACAATCTCGGAGACATCTCGACGCTGGCGATACTTCAATCGACGAACTGTTTTGTATTGGTAACCATCTTCTCCCACAGCAGTGGAGTCTTGGTTAATGTCCACATTAGGTACATCGACGCCAACTTCCTCCGCCATCGGTGGGAGATACTCATTCATGATCTCGGCGATGTCGCGACGGTGCCTGGTTTGTTCGACAGGAATCACTGCAGCCGTCGCTGCGGCAATGAGCATGCACGCAATGAAGAGTTTCTGCAATTGGGTGATTGAGAGATGAATTGTGTTCCGGTGGTAAATCCACGATTACATACCATTTTAGTATAGATCTCCACGCTAATTGTATTATCGATGGAATCTATGGGTCGAATGATTAATAGTCGCAATTTGTCGGCATATTTATACGCTCGAATGTTTGCCAAGCGTCGCATAAACATAAGAAAACACACACATAAACCAAACAATGACCAACACTTTGTTTGCCAACAACAAAAGACCTGGCAACAGCAACAGTAACAGAAATAGAAACCATAAACAGCAGCCCAGGTCGGACTGGTCGCTATAACACAAACGGAGCATTTGCTGGCACATGGTGCCACTTAGGCCCTCAAGTGCCTCTGCCCCTACCACTGGCCCAACCCCCCTCCGCTGCGTTCCGTTTCGCTCCTGTCTCAGCTGTTTTGGAGCCGGTTAGTGACTAGGCAGAGAGCGGAACTAAAAAATCGCTGTGTTTGCTTTCGTTTGGTGCGTTCGAATGTTTCACGGTCAAGATACCATCACATATAATGAGATTTAATGCAAAAAATATAAGAAATAATAATAATCGTAATGACAGCAGCAAAAGTCATTTGGCGTGATCTGCTCAGTCGTCGCAAGAGTAGTGCTAGCAGTAGTAATAGTTGCTTCTCAAGATTGATTATCTCGAGTGTTGTTTGTGTATCGGTAATTTGCGTACTACGTTTAGTTCAACGAACTGACCAAAAAATGCGATATTTTGAAAGGTCGCTTCTGAATGGTGCTGATGATGATTGGATTGGATTGGCTCGTGTTCCACTCTGTTTGTTCTTTGTTTTAAGCGATGATATCATGACGTCAAAAATAATGCGTACTTGCTGGGTGACATGTTTTGGCAGATCTTTTAACAGTGTTTAAAATATATTTAAGTTAAGAAGTCATCCAAAAATCATTAATCATAATTTGGAACAGTTATCAACTGCAATTAATGAGTTTTTTAAGCTTTGTTTACTCTCTAAATAGTAATGGTTATATTCAATTATATTAAAAAATATTTATGTTAAGAAGTCAACGAAAAATAATCATTTATCATAATTTTGAATAGTTATCAAATGCAATTAATATGTTTCTAAGTTTTGTTTACTCTCTAAATATTGTTCTGGATTGCAATGGTTATATTTAGCTAAATTCAAAATATATTTATGTTAAAACGTCAGACAAAATTAATTACTTATACTTTTGCAATAATAATCAAATGCAATGAATATGTATTTTCCCTTTCGTTAACTCTATAAATTAAATATTAAAGATATATTTATGTTAAGAAGTAATCAAATACAATTAATATGTATTTTCCATTTCATTAGCCTTTACAAGGATTGCTTTAGTTGAAATTAATGTAATAATGGTTATATTCCCATGTCCTTGTTATTATCAGCTAATTGAGCGATGCGGGACTACTTAATGGCTGGCATAACTTTGTAATAACTTGCTTGTAAAATCTCTGCTCTTAGTATCAAAGATACACTACTCTCCCCAACAGAAAAGAATCCAAAGAAAAAATATAAAAAAAAAGTATAAAAGTCCAAAGAAAACAACAAGAGTTAACAAATTGCGCGCATGCTGAAAAACTTTGGCTATGAAATTCATAAACTTGGCCCAAACAAGCAGCTTGACGGCAGCTTCCCCTCTTCCCCTTCTCCTCCCACCCACGTGTAAAGGACAGTTAAAAGTTGTACACAAATCATGCATATGATTCTGCTGCAGAGTGGCACAGCTGCTGCTGCTGCTGAGACGGAGTTGCTGCCCCATGCGACCCCAACGGCAACTAATTAAAGGAGACCAAAACACAAGGCGACAAAGAAAGGGGGAGGGGATAGAGAGAGTTAGAGAGTTGGGCCGGGCAAAAAGTTGACTCGCCAAGGTTTTTGGGGAAGTGTGTCAAGTGCCACAGAATGTGGTAAACAAAACAAATGGAGTGTGCAATCTGTCGTAAACAGTCATAAATTCTGTGTAGTCTCCCTAACTATCACTGTTAACCACCTCCTCCACCCCGACCCCCGCAACTCCTCTCTATTTCACAGCCCTCTCGCCCATAGGTTTGCCATCTTTATCGCAATCATTCACATCGCCACTTGTGAAATCTTGTGCAACGTTTGCCTCAACTGAACTGAAGCATGAACATCGAATGACACATTCTAATATAATATAAACGATGTTTTATGACAATCAATTTGTTACAATTCAATAGACACACAACCAGCACACAACCAACACACATGTCTGTACGTGTGGATGTGTGTGTGCTCTCATTTATGTGATTATTTGATTTGTGTGTTTGACGTTGACACTCATACGGCCATAGCAGGGACTCCAACTCTGCAACCAAAAATTCCGTATCCGATTCCGAGAGTCAGGCCCCCGGTCATATAACGAATTTTATGAACTAGAAAGTATCATTAATTTAATACGCATACGCTTACGTATATAGTCCTACGCAAACAAGGATATATGTATATTTCTTGTCCCGGTTGCCGGGGAACTGTTGTTAGTTATGCTGGGCATTGTAATGTAAATATGCGCGACATGCAATCATAAATAAGCATTCGACACAAAAACACAATAAATGTCAAAAAGTTTCGCCATTATCCAGTTTGCCAGTTAATGTGACAACGCTGCGTTCTGACTCCGGACTCCTGCCTGCATGTCCTGCACACGACAACGTCCATCTCATGCTGCTGCTCCTTCTCCTCCTCCTCCTTCGACTTCTCTGATGTCTTGCAAGGCGGCGCTTTATTATTTTAATGATTTTTCAGCGCCGTTATGTCCATAGCCTCTGCATTAACTACTCCCCAATCCCAGCTGCAATTGTATTCGCCTGGCACTGTGTGTGTATGTGTCCTCACATTTGTAATTCAATTCACCCGCATGCCAACTCCATCCGCATCCCGACTTCATTCTCGTCCAGCATTCGGCTTCCTTTGCCGATTATTATTTTACATGTCGGTCGCGGGAGCCCACTATAATTTATTAGCAATTTGCATAATTTTCTTTTATTAAGCAGTTGCCGTTGTCGTTGCCGTTGCCATTTCATTGTGCCAAGTTTTTTGATTTAAACGCTGTTCGCCCTCTGTCAACGTTCTTTGTCAGCGCCTCGTCATCAACTCTTTGCCCAATGTTATGCAAATGTGGCCCGTATTATTATCCATAAGGTCTGTTAGTTTATAGCACCCCACTCCGAAGACACATTTGTAGCTTATTATTGCCGGCTGTCAAAATTATGGATAAATATACAATCTTTATACAACAGTCTTGACATCAAGGTCACATCTCCATCTCAATGGCAATTGTATTAGCTGAATGCACTTCAAATGGAAGCACAGTCTTTAATTGAATTTACATTATGCATGAGATAAAATTATTGCAGCAGTATTTTGCTTGATATTTTCTTTCTAGCAAAGCAATTAAAACATCGTTTAAAACTTTGGCTTACAAAACTAAAACAGGAAGCAAGAAAAGCTATCAGCTATCAGCGAGCTCATTAGTAGGGGTGAGATGGGGGTGTAGGGGACAGGGAGGTTGATCGCATCATTATGCAATCTTTAAAAGTAGTTAGAAGAGAGAATTCGAACAGCAGCTGGCTACAAAGCAAAACTAAATGAAACTATTTAAAACACAATTTACTGCAAATCAATCGAGCAACGCTTCTAATTAGAAAACCAAAACAAACACACACACAAAGACACGGACAATCAGCTAAACACACACACACACACACAAACACACACACTCAAGCACACTTAAGTGAATTTTGGTAACTTGTGTGAATGTTAAGGGAGAGATGGAGAGATGAAGTGGTATGTGGCAGGTTCGTGTGTCGCTGCAAAACCTGCAGACCCCAAGACACTGTTGTGGCCCAATCTGTGAGACAGATCTGTTTATTTGTTTGTCTGTTGGCCTCCACTGTTTGACTTGAAGGTATTAGAAACTAATTTGTACAGCAGCCCGGCAGAAGTAGGATCAGGAGCAGGTGTAGCAGTGGGAGCAGCAGCAGTAGCAGTGCGAGCCGTAGCAAAGCTAACAGGATACAAACAGCAATTGTTTGCCCTGTCTATCTATCTGAGAGGCTTTAGTCCTGGCTGTGCGGCTTTGGCCTTTTGTCAGCTGCCCCTCACCCAAAAAACTGAAGCAGGACAACAAAAAGCATATATAAAAAAGGAAAACAAGCCATGCCAAATCCTTCACAGAGAGAGGGAACAAGAACAAAGCGCCAACTGACTGCGACGAGTAAATCATATGCTCTATAACCGAGTCGACAGCCAAAAAGGGACTCATCTCGTTTTTAAGACGCTTGCGGCTTAAATTTTCTTAAATGTTGCATTGTCTTTGTCAGTGGCAGGCTGAGGCACTGGACTTGGTCGGGCAACAGGCAACAACAAACAATGGCCCAAGCACATGCCAAGTTTTTATGGATTAACTAAACAAGCTCATGAGTAAATATTTTCAAGCATATTTTGGGCCAAACTTTGCAATGAAGTTGACGACGTTGCTGGTTCTGCTTCTGCTTCAGCTTCAAGCCAAATAACCCAACCGGAGACCAGAAACAATTTAGCGTTGAAAATGTTGAGCTACGCATTGCAAAATTTGCCAAACTTATGCTCACATTGTGTGTATGTGTGTACATAGTTTGATGTGTATCTGCAAGATATTCGGACAAATATTTGGCCGATCAAAAATAACTGAAACATGCCCACGTAGCGCACAATTTACTACTTTAAAACATTTTTGCACTCAGCTAGCATTAAATTATTCGTTTGTATGTTCAAATATGCTCTCGTTGCTATAGCTCCTTTGGGATGCGTGGCATTAAAAAAGAAGAGGAATGCAGGTGCCGCTGTAAATCGTATGTGTTGTATTTGATAATTTGGAAAACATGTCTGGTAAATAAATTGCAGTTCGAGTCATTCGCTCGAGTTATTTGCAGTGCATTTGAATTGATGATTGTTGACATTAAACCTGCAAACATAAATACGAAAAATGAAATTGGCATTTCCCAGCTTACGGATCAGCATTCACCTTCATTTGTCCAGTTATTTTTACAATTTGCTTTTTTTTTTTAATGAAATATGCATAATGGAAAACTGCATTGCAGTTGCAAATTTATATTATTAATGCCTATATAAGCGAGCGCATTAAATTGTTACTTGTTTGCTGGCCAAATACCTTTTGTTAATTTTAATTTCATATAATTTTTATGCAACCTTTTTTATTTTTTTATTCTGATTTTCTTTTTATGTATCGCACTTTTGCGAAGGCTAATTTATGATTGCTCAATGCGGCATGTAATTGCATACAAAAGCCTTTAATGATGGCCACAAGTGTGTGCGTGTGTAAGTTTGCCAACTGATTATGTTTTATAATCGGTTTGCATATTTTTTATCGGTTGGCCATTTGATGTTATGCAAGGTATTAAGCAACCATTATTAACTGTTTTATCGCGTGATAATCAAATATATATATAGATCTATTTATTGAAATTTATAGCATATATTATGATAAATATAATGCTAATAATTTATAGCATACATTATGATAAATACATCGCTAATAATTGGTGCATATAATGTAGATTTCCGTCTTCAACAAACAACAAAGCGATGGGGAGGGGGAGCTGGTCTAACTTCTAATTCAAGCCAATTAGCGACTGGGAATTAAGTGCTCATTAGAGCAACGACAGTGGGCGTCAATTTGGGGGCGTGGCCTTAACGCATATCTACGCATAATAAAGTCAACACAAATTAGTCAAGCTCTTCGTTCCACCAACTTGGCCAACTGGCGTATCGTCGTAAACAAAACGTTAAATGCGACCAACATGCACAAATGTCACACCACTTTGCACCCCTTTGCATCACTTTGCTCCTACACTCAGAAAAAAGATTGCCCTCAAAGTATTATTAAGTGTTTTGTCTGGGTTGCCCCCAAATCAATGCAAAAAGAATCGCACCAATTTTTCTATTAAATACGTCCACAAATCTATATAAACTTTTGTTATTTATGTTTATTTTATTTGATTTCCATTTAATTACATTAATATTTTACTTATCAGTAAAAGAAACAGGAACAATTTTCTGTTTTGCGCAAAAATATCAAAATATGCGAGAAAAACAAATCATTTCAAGTCAAGTATTTTGAATTTTTTTCTGAGTGTAAAGTCTGAAGTCGCTGGATTCTGCAACCATGGCATGGCATGGCAGCAACTGTAACTGCGACTTTGGTCGCACGATTAATCGTCGTTGCAAATTGTTGGCACGTTTTCAATTGACAGCAGTGGTGTGCGCATTGGCCTCCGACCAGAGACCGGGTCACCGGCGTCAACCCCTAATTTGCACGACAATCCCAACACAAGCCAACCCCTTTTTGTCGCTGCTGCTGCTGTTGCGTGTAAATCACACGGCATTTACTTCTGGCTCCTGTTGCATCTTTTACGTGCGCCAGGACTAGGACTCCTGCTGCTGTTCGTTGATCCTGCGGCAATGATACGCAGCAGCCGTCCAGCTCCTTCTTTCCCCTTGGCTCACGTGTGACAGGCTGTTTTTAAAAGCGGCTGACTGCCCGTCCGTCCACCCACCAACGCCCCTGTCGTTTATTTGGGTTTAATTTTTCAAGTCGCGACGTCTTTTACAGTTGGCCATTAATCACGTCTACAAAATGCGACTCGGCATGCAAAAACACAAATACAAAAAAAATATATTGTGCGAAAGCAGCGAAAGAATGGCTAAGTTTTGCCCATCCGCATTGTCAGCGTTGGCTTCTTTTCGATTACACTCCTTACACAATGGAGTATATCGGCAGGTGGACAGTGATTGTCACTTGTAAAAACTAAGTCAAACTTAATTTTGCTGATTTGCTTTGAAAATATAAAACGAATGTCAGCATTTGTTAAGATGTTGAAACGAGACGCAGTAATAATGTTGGAAGACGATTTCCTTTTTCAGAGCGATTAATCGATAGTACCAATAATCTTTACTGATACATGTCTAGCTTTTTACAGTTGCTTGAAAGAGAGTAACAATAGCGGAAGTCTTTTGTCCTTTGAGAGCTATCAAAATTGATTGTCTTAATGGTCCTTATAAATATTCGCCGAGTATTTTGAAAGTTGCTTAAAAGAGAGATGCGAATAATGATATTGGAAGACGCTTGTCTCTTGCATAGAGATTAATATTGATATTTATCGATAGAAATCATAGATAGATAGATAGAAACATACATGAAGATGTTGCATTTTCTACGTTGCTTGAAAGAGAGACTCAAATTCGGAAAGTGAAAAACCGTTTGCCATTTTCATAACTATTAAATTTGATATTCACTTTAAAGGGCATTTGCAATTCGCAGTAAGTGTTTGTAATTCAGAATACTATATTTGTAACTTAATCTTAAAGCTGCTCGAGAACTAGTCCGGCAGTCTGCCTGTCTTTCAGTCTGCGTGCCTGATGCATGACACAGCGCCATCGCATTATGCCTGCCAATAAGCCGCGCTTCTGCTCGTTGACTTTGTTAATAATGATGTTGATGTTGGTGTTGCTGCCGTTCATGTTGCTGTTGCAATCGCTTCTCGACTGGAACGCATAGCTTGCCTATTTTAAGCATTGAGGTCACGTGACTCCCTTGCCAAGCCACCCAAACCACCCAATCCAATGCCACAGGCAGCTGCCCTTTGTTTACCCCCAATGACAAACTAAACTAAATGCAATTTGATGCGTGTCATGAAACAAACCCCTGTTCCTTTAGCTGAAAATGCGTGGTAATCATTATTTGTGACAAATGACGAGCTGAATCAATTTCTCTATTTTGGCTCTAGCAGAGCTAACTGCCAGCTGGACTGGCATTGCAACAGTTTTGAGTTGTCCAAGTGCCGCAAACGGCTCGCCGCCTCTGACAGTTAATAAATATTTGTCACGCATGGCTTTGGACGCACTGCAGCGGTACGCCGTCGATGGATTCTACTATCCCCCCTCATTCCTGTGCCACCTGGCAAAGTTCGCTGCTGCAGTCGCCAGTCCGCAGGCTTATGCACGTGACAGCAGGTCGAGAGCTGATTGGATTGTATGAAGTTTTGCCGGGGTTCGATAGAATGTGCTATTCCCACGCCTTGTCAATGGACTAAGCATTACATGCACATTCATAATACATAGGTATATAATATCTGCAGGCAGACAGACACACACATACACACTGGCACTCACAAACCACAATTCCACTTGCGCACTTAGTTGGTCAAAGTTGAATGCCTTGTAAATGGTAAATAGGACACCGCAACTAGCAACCAACAGCATTTGACCATTAATCAAATTTCCAATTAATTTGCCACAATTAATTGCAGTGATAATTGTGTGATGTGTGTGTGTTGTATTGTTCCACCTCAATTGCAATGGAAAAAAAGTAGCTACTTTGATTACATATTTATTTGCAAATATTACACTTTGAATGCAAACCGCAATTTTATGTAAATATTTGAAAGCAGTCGTAAGTCGGCCTTTTAAATTTTTCAAATAAAAAAGAATTAGTATTATGAAAGCTTTCATTAAGGGAAAGATGGAGATCAACTCGACTCTAAACCAATTATCATGTTGGAGTGCATTCTCAACAGGTTTTGTGATATGTAAAAATCTTTACCAAGTCTAATACAACTTTAAAATGAGTTGGGAGCATACGTCCTCATTAGAATGCGATAAGTTGCACAACAACAGCGGTGACATTGGTTGCAATACATGCAGCATGAATGTGTCATGTTTTGCTTGGTATTATTACATTATTGTCAACATATAATCAGGTTGAATGACGAACGCGACAATGTTTCTCAAGGAAAGGAGTTGCGAGAAGTCTCATCACAAAATGGTTAACAACCGGTGGTAAGAGACGCTGGCAGTGGCAGTGTGGCAGGACGGACGTGTACGTTATCCTTTATGGAGTCGATGTACATATTTGTTGCGCTTTATTAAAAAAAAATGTGCGCAATTCAAGAAATGCGGCTGCCTTGTTACCTGCAGCAGCTAACGCAGAGAGCAGTTGTTGCCTAGTTGCAAGGCTGCCACACACACACACACACATATAAATATATATATATATATATACACATATATATATATATATATATATATATATATATATATATATCAAATACTATTGAGCAGCATAAGGCAACATTGATGGAGTGTCAGCCACATCTCTTTCCACTCTCTCCTCACGCTCAGCTTGTCAGCTGCTGTTAGTCTAACTCCAATAACCACATTTGCAAGCCCAGCAGGGAGTAGGGAATTGGTGGCAGGCAGGGCAGCCTTGTATTTTTGCCTGGTTGCCAGCAGTAACGGTTGCTGCCTGTTGTTGTTTGTGCGGCGGCATCGGTTGCCATTGCCTCCGTTGCAAGTTTGTTTATAAACATTTCACGTATATCAGAGAGCTAGAGCGGCTTGTGTGTTCTGTCTGCTGGCCACACAAATGTCCGTGTTGTAAACTTTTATTATTACAGTTTTTTGCCGGGCAAACAATGTCAGAAATAGGGAAAAATAGAAACAGTATAGGAACAGTCTAGGAACCCAGCCATAAAAGCAACAAAATAACAGTTTTTTGTGTGTGTGTAGGTTTATTCTTTCCATCACGCAAAAAAAAAGGTCGTTTTAAAAGTGGTCGCTCACTCGCCCACCGAATTCTGCTATGTCCTCCAAGAAGATCGCTCCGGAGCGACGCCCTTTCTGTGATCCGCGGCTGCACGATGCCAGTTTTCGCAGAAAGCGCAACCGCCACAAAGAAGCCCCAGGCAATGTCGAGGTGGCCAAGAAGAGTGGCAAGCGACCCCTCAACGATTGCCCCTTCTTCGATTTGAGCTATAAATTCGATGAGCTTCCTCTCGACCCGATCAAGGACTTCCTGCTCGAGAAGATCTGTGAGTAGTCCCGTCTAAGAAACGAAATCTTAACTCAATTTTCATATATTAAAGCCCACATGCAAAATGATACGATTGTGGGCCGTTGCAACCGAGAGTTTGACTTTCATCAGTACGATCTGGTGAATGTGAAGGAAGCCTACGACGAATGCGACGATGACAGCCTGCTGGAGATGGAGCTGGAGGATATTGTGATGCCCGAACAGTTTGAAATGTTACGCGATGCCAAAGATCATGCCTACAATTTTAATGGCCAGGGTGAGTTAATTAATGACCGCAAATTGAAAACAATTTAACAACACTTGCGGATTAGAGGGAATTTGGGTGGGCACGTTTAACAAGTTACCTAACAACATTTAATGTAATTCAATGAGCAACAACAACAACAACGTTAGCTTTACCACAAAAACATATCACTTGATACTTTATTAAATGAGAAAAACATGCACACAGGGCAAAAACCCAAACTCTTCCCCTTTGCTACCCCCTTGAAGGCAACGCAGCTCGTTGGAAAATTGCTCACCTGTAAACATAAAAATTTCAAACATTATCCTTTAAACATAAAATTTTATAACCCAAAAACCAAAAGAAAAAAAAAACGTGAAACCAAAAAACAAATGCGTATGACATTTATTTGAATATCCTTTGGGAATGTGTGTGTGTCTCTCTCCCTCTCTCTGTCTGTGTGTGGGTGTGTGTGTGTATTTGTGTACAGGACCCGACTCCAAAGGCGAGAACTGCATGGCAACCATGGCCCTTGTAACATGTTTATCATAGTATTTTATTAAGCATTTACATGGAATACTTTTTTGCCTCTACTCTTTGCAAAAAGCAGCATTCCCAGTTTCTGATTAATTTGGTATGCGGAAATATTCAACAGTAAAGCTAATGAATACAAATGAAATGAGAACCCAAAAATGTTGCTCTAAATTGTTAGTTGAATATTTGAAATGTGAGAAATGCAATTTGAACTATATAGTGTATACAATTGTTGAATATGTTTGTGAATAAAATGAACATGTTTGGGTGACTCTTTGTCGTTACGCTGTGATAAAAATGTTTCATTTTACGTATAGTTTTTTAATATTTAATATCAGTCCTGGATAGATGTGAAATGCAAACAGACTCTGGGGGACATGGAGGGACACGTTTGGGGAGACATTTCATATATATATATATATATTCATATGCGATATGCGGCATAAAAGCATGTTGTCGATAAACATTAGCATAAAAATGTTACAATCATTATGACAGCCAGAATTTTGGACGTTAGTTGGTGGGGGGAGCAACCTGTACAGGACAACGGTCCAATAGTCCATTGGAAAAATTAGAGTTGGGAGTTAGGCAGAAAAAAAACACATTCGAATGGCCAACGGAAATGGAAATTAATGCGAATTTAATCATTTTAAAAGCGAACTTTGCTGCATTGACTTTTATTTAAAACAATTTCATTTGTGTGTAATAAAAATAACAAGGGAATCAAATATGAAAAATGTACACAAACACACACAACTTCATATACACATATGAGTGAGTGTGTGTGGAATTTACACACATATCAAGTTCATGTGCAAATATTAAATTCCATTTTAATTTTCTCTGTGTATTTTTGATGGCTCGTTTTTGCTTGCAGCTTGTAATCAATTTCCCTGGATTGACAAATGGATGACTGGCGGTAATAAATAAATCTTTATATTTACATAGCGACAGCATTATTAAAAATTTGACCACCATCCATACACACCCGCACACATACACCAACACACACACACACCCGTACAGTACGCCCCAGCGAGCAGGAAATTTATGAAATGACCAACCAGCTCTTGGACATTTATTGCCAGAGACGCGTTCGAATCTTTTACTTTGACTGCGGTACCCGCTCTTCCCTCTGGTCGAATCAACTGCGAAGACAATACGGCACCCCCTCGGAGCTTATTGGGGCTTACAATACGCCCACTGCGCGACACTTGAGAGTGACGACCTTGAACAAAAAGACCAAAAAGTCAAAGTTTAGTGCCGGCGATCATTATGCGCTGCGAACGCCACAGGGTAAATAAATGAAATAAACATACAATAAATGATTAATTTTATATTGTTATTGTAAAATCTCCTACAAAAATCCTCTTTAAATAGAGTGTCGCAATGAGCTGATACGCGTGGGCAAGATCATTGACGATATGATTAAGCCCGTTTTGTTGGAGGCTCAGCATAACAAAGAACATGGACTGCTCGAGTATAGCGGTAAATCATTCTGTGCCGATGAAGAGAAGCAGCACCGCCAGAAGGTAAGTGATACACTCAATAATTACTGCTCCCAGACGAAAAATCGTCTCGAAAACTGAAAAAAAGGTAAATAAATAAAATTGAAATTTTAAATTATACGAAGCAATAATTTCTTTCTTTATTTTTTCGAAATATTTTTTATTATTAATAAACCAATTACGACACAGTAGAAATGAAATAATTTCCAAAAATTTAGAAAGGATTAATTAAATTTGTTTTCTCGACGAGCAGGAAATAATTCTAAAAAATGTTTAATAATAATATAAGCAATAAACGTTCGATGTAGAACAAATTAAAATCAATCCTGGAAGTTTTCTAGAATTCAGGTATATATTTTCTAAGTGTCATTCACTAATCATTCCCTCAATCAATCATTGCAGAACAAGTCCCGCTGCAAGGAATTCAAAAAGCGTATTCATCGTCGCAACTTTGCCACAAATGAGGAGTTTCTGCAGTGCCTGAAGCGAATGGAAGCCAGGTAAGTAAATGCGATACCCTAACGCAAACAGAAGAGTATTAAATGTATAGTATTATCAAATTGCAGTCGCTTTCCGTATATGGCGCCACTACAGCCCGTTGAGCCCGAGGAACAGAAACTGCAATTGTATGCCAAATATCAACAAAAACTTTTGGCAGCCGAGCAGAAGTTTACATTGATAATACAAAAGCGCTACAAATGCCTTTTGAAGACCGTAAGTAGATGGCTAACCGGTACGGAAAACTCCCATGTGACTAGTCAAAACATATTGAATTATGCAACTGACCAAACATATGCTAAACAAGATGGAAAAAAAGGACACACACTGACAGAGATGTCAATGTCGATGCATGTGCTGTCGAGTCGAGTCCCTCGCCATCAGCTCTCATCATAAAAAGCTCATCAAAAATGAGCACCGACAAACATAAATAACTTTTATGCGTTGGCGGTAGAACCGTGTCCGTGTCCATGTCCATGTCCGAGTTTGAGTCCTCTTCCTCGTCCGTGTCCGAGTGCTAAGTGCGAGACCGAGCACATAAAAAATGATAATAATAAACTTGATACAAAGTAGATATGTGTGCGTGAGCGTGCGAGTAAATTAAGCTGCGTTGGCTTTTGCTTCTTTTTTTTTTTATTTTTCCTTTTGGCCGGCCCCAAAAACGTGCTTATAAAAATTATATAATTCATAGCTCGTAAACATTATGGGCGTCAGTTCAGTGGCGTGGCCAAAGTTATGAATAACGTGATTAGTTGTTAAAAAAAGAAACAAAAAGTAAACAGCGCAAAACAAACGGAAAGCACTGTGAAAGGTGACGATTTGAAGGAGATTTATGGCTGTTTGTTTTTGAGCGGATAACTGCTGCACTTTATCAAAAAATAAGTAAAAGTATATAGAAATATATGCATGGCTTTATCTTGCAGATATCTGTGCTGCAGCTGGCAACGTATCCCTCTCGCCTAATACGTCGAGCGATTCGTCACATTGATCCACGCAACCCAGTGCTGCAGGATGCCTACAGATTCATACTCCAGGAAGAGGTAAGTTCATGTCAACTCTACTCTAACTCCCAACTCTTGACTCCAGATTCCCAACTCCCGACTCCTCGACACCTTGACTCTGGAGTGGGACTCGTCGTGAGCGTCAACATTATTAGCAAACTAAACGCGCGCTCACAAAAGTTTTTTGGGGGCCAAAAGTTTGTCATCAGCGAGAAGAGAGAACATATTAAACACGCTCCCCGAACGTGAGCACGTCGAGCGGTATTTTAGCGACTTATGATGGGGGTGGAGTACACTCAGAAAAAAAGCTGACCTGAATTTTAGAAAATTGCCTTAAAAACTAGAAAGTTATTCTTGTTTTTAAAAGTAATCTCTAAATATAAGAAACAATTTTTTTAACTTGAAAGGTGTGTCCTAAATCGACAATCCTAAAGAATATGATGGGTTTTTTCCAACAGTTGGAAATATTTTGAATTAGTTAGAAATGCATTTCTAAATAACGAAATGCAAACCCTGATATTCTTGTATAAAATTTAAGTAATCAACAAGTAATTCCCGTAAAATCCTAAGCATTTGTTAAATTTAATTATTTAAATAAATTTATAGAATTTTTGTTATATATGAAATCTTAAAATACAAATGTTTATTAATAATTTAACTAAGAAAAAAGCCAACAAAATTTTGAAATATACTTTCTGAATAATAAGGTGAGTTATCCTTAAAATTCAGTGACATTTTTTTCTGAGTGTTGTGTAGTGCCACAATACTAGAGGAGCAAAATGCGTGTTGATGTTTTGACGTGTGCTCCAGCCGAAAGTTTTAGGCTGCGTTCGCTGCTCGAGTCAAGCACTTGCCATCAACTGGCAAATCAGTGCACAGCCAAGTTAATGAGCAACAAGCCGACACACACTCCGACACACACACTCTCACATCACACACACAGAGCTGTCGCTTTGGGCTGATATCAAAGTTTGTGGCACCTGCCGTGATTCACTGGGTAATCAACTCGTTACAGAAACATTGGCCCAAACTGCCGCCAGAAGTTATATTAATGGATTATCTGTTTGTGGGCGAGCGGGGCATACGCCTGGACGTTGCCATACTCATCATCGTTTGCCTCATCGATCTGCAGGAGGACTTTCGCTACCATGTCAAGCGCTCCTTCCTACGCTATCTGCTGCAGTAAGTGCATCAAATTAACTCTCAACCTCGCAAGCACAACACTTCATTAATGTCTAATCCCCATTCAGATCCAAAATGGAGCGCAGGCGTCTGCAGCTGGAGGTGGAACCACCTGAGTTTCCCACACTGACCGTTACCTCACCGGTGCCCTGGCGCTCTCGTCTCCTGCTGGCCAAGAGTCGCATTGGTGAGATGCTCATGATAACACATCCGACGGTGCAGGCTCTGAATCTACTGTGGCATCAGCTCTACGGGGATCTAGTTATTGTCGATCTGTCCAAGTTGCTGCTGACGGAGCGACCCTTGGATGCGGACATTGTGCAAAGCTTTGTGTGGAAAAGCTGTGCCGAAATCAGAGACGTAAGTTCCCTAGATACATGTCACAGATTGGGGTTCGGATTTTAACATGATTTCGACCTAGAATCGTGCTTATCGCTTTTCTATATTGTCGAAGCTATTGGTTGTAAAGTGAGAGGTTCCTTTGTTATCACCGAAGCCTTAGACAAACTCTGTAGTAACGCGATTAATTATGATTATCTTATATATATTTGTATTTTTCGCTGTGAAGCTTCTGATCAACGATTGGCTGCCCCGCTGTGCAGATCTCATGGATCTGATGCGTAACAGCTGGAAGGATCTGGTGCCCATGACGGGCAAGTATGGAGGTCGGGCGCAGACCCTCTTTCAGTGTGTGCATGCGCTGATGTCCCGTCATCTGGAGAGTCTGATCAACAAGAGTCTGGCGTATCTGTTCAAGGTGCTGTGTGGCTACAAGTACGGCAATAATGTGGATCAGTATAGCATGTACGATCCGAAACTGCGTCGCAGACCACTGATGACACTCACGGTGTCTGTGGTGGGTGCACATTTTGACAACGAACACATTGACTTTGGACCCGGCATTCGGGAGGATGAGAACATTTATGTATTTGATGCGGATGATGCGGATCCTTTTCTGGTACCGGGTCAAACAAATTTACTTTTGGACACTGTAAGTTGCTTAATAATTTTGATTGCCCAACTTCGTTAGTTTTTCGCTTATTAAATCACAGCAAGTCGACATGGATGATGTGGTCTCGTTTGAATTGGATAATGCCTGCAAGCTTTATATCTATCCCTATATGGTGGAGCTACCAGCTCTCATTAGGGATCTCTTCAAGAGCATGCTGGCTGTGGGCTACGATATACCACGGCTCGAATACATCATGTCGGGTGGAGGTAAAAGCACTCTCTAATTCTTGAGTGTGATTGATTGATTAATCTGTTTAATAGTGCCGGAAACATATGGAACACTACATTGCATTGATGAGTATCATGTGGATTTTGTAGAGCTGTGTAATAAAATCGAGGAGATAGTCAAGGTCAATTGGCGTGGTGTCAACGTCTACTTGAAGCCTATTTACAAATATTACTATGGACTATTCAAGAAGATGATAATGCCAATTGTGGAGAAGATATGGACAGATAATACACTGCCCGAATTAGTGGTGCGTATGAAATGCTTCGCAAATTTAAAGCTGATTAAAATACTTGATGCACATTGCTCTGTGCATTTTGCTGGGCAGGGCTGGGCGGAGCTGGGCGGAGCGGGGCGGACCTAGGCGGTGCTGGTGCTTCAAAAGTCATTAGCAGTAGGCGATTTTGGGTTTGAGCAAAGGGCACACACACACAATGCCTTTGGGGCGATTGGCTGCGTCTCGCCTTGAAATGAATTTAATTATTTATTTCGATTTGATTATACGCAATGATGCGTAGAATTAACATAAAATTGCATTATGCAATATTAATAAACTGCTGACAGACAGACTGACTGACTGACAACTTGACAAACTGACTGACTGTCGGCAAGCGGCTGGCAATTTGTGTAATTGAACAAGTGCAGCTGTAGCTATAGCTAGAGCTGTGTATCTGTATCTGTATCTATGGTTTCTGTGTGTGTTTCTGTTTTTAGGGTCGTAGGATTTGTGACCCCTTTGCTGCTGCTAAAACTCGTTTTGCCATTGTTAATTAAACTTGGTTCGATTTGCTAATTCCTAGTCTCTGCCGACTGAAGAATATTTTGCCATCTCATTTGCTCTGGCCTCGAATATATATATATATATATATATATATATATACACATATATATACAGATATGGATCACTCAATTAACCCATTCATGCCAGCCGATTGCAGCACACATTCATTATGCTGAACTGCAACGAGCAACGAGCAACGAGCGACAATTTTTTCTTCCCCAATTTATTTAAAATAAAAATTGCTTTCGATGGCGAGAACGTTACTACAATTTTTTCATGCGTGTAATTCAAGCTTGTGTCTGCTTTTTTATGTTTTTTATACGCTCTGCCAGCCATTAAAATGGGCCATAAGTTGAGCCAAAATATGTGACAGCAAAGTAGTAGCAGGTATCATTGACAGTATTAATTTGTGGCAAAATAAGAATTAAATCTTTTATATTTTAGTTTATATATAATGATGCTTATAGAGCCATATCTATTTTTAAAAATAATTAAATCTGTGTGTTAGTATTTTAAATAGCATATCTGCTGGTCGAGCACTCTAGACTACACTTTTCTTACTTATATTGCAAAAAACTCACATATATAGATACATTTACATTTATTTATATTCGCGTTTCATTTTTATTAAATGCATATTCATTTACAACGGATGGCATCGCACACTCGGTTACACACACACACACTTTCACACACACACACATGACACCCACACCCAACGGACAACAGGTTGTTCAGGAATTAATGAAAAAATTGAACGCCATCAGCGATACGACCTATTATCTGCGTGATTTCATACCGTTAAATTTGTTCCTGTTGGATAATCGCCATGTTAAAGAATCGCTACGGATGTACGTGAAGAATATCTACGATTTCATCACTGACTTTTACAGGGCGCTCAATCTGAACGAGAATCGAGCGTAAGTACAACAATTTCCCTCGCTTTGCCTGGCCTTGCGGGCAATTGGCTCTTCTTTCTTTTCTTTTTTATTGTGCTTGGACTGCACTTACTTAATGTATAACTTTTAATATGCACTTGCACACTCCGTGCTGTTTTTTTTGCCACTTCAGCATCTGTGAAGAGCTCGAGGAGATGTCGATGAAGGCCGGCGAGCGGCCCGAGGAGACGCCAGAAGTGGTCGCCCTGCAGAACTATATAACCGAGTGCCGGGAGATGCGCATATTTGCCATCAAAGATGATATCAAGCTGGTGCTGAAGCGTGTCATATTCCTGCTGACACATGCATACCTGACCAGTAAGTTTGGTGTCGAGGGCGAGAGGTGATTCAACCTGGGGCAGCTGTGTTTGTGCAGCTGATGCCTGGTGTTTTAGACAAGGAACACACGCTTAAGATAATTAACCTCAACTAACAAGCTGAGTCTACTAATTGGTTTTATAATTACTTGCGGTGGAGACACCAAACATTTAGCTGCGCTAAACCCACCGAAAATGCAGCTTAATGAGCTCAACAAATTCATGAATGTGTGAAAGTTGCTTTGACAACCGACAAATGCCAACAAAACCTCAACCGGAAGACATACATATATCATATATATATACATATGTATATGTATTTTTACCAGCAGCAGCTGCTGCATAACCAGACAATTGCGATTCATTGTCAAGTGTCGAGTGTCGAGTGTGTATCTTTCATATAATAACATACAATGTGTGTAACTTCTCTCTGTCTCTCTGTCTCACTGTCTGTCTGTCTTTCGGGTTGTGCGTCCATCTGTCTGTGGCTTTTGTCACTCGAAAAATGAGAGCAACATTAGCAGAGCAGTTCTCGGCAGACAGACATACAGACAGACAAACTTGTCAGTGAGGCGCTTTGTACACATAATTAATTAGTTTGCCTCGAAAAACTCGCATAGCCAATTAATTAAGAGTTAAGCACAGTTAATTAAGAACATGTACGACAATGTAGAGTAGAGTAGGAATGCTGCACTCAGAGAAAAAATCGCTCTGAAATTTTCTAATAGAAATAGAAAGTTTTTTTTTTTTTTTTAATAATTTCCTTTCTGAAATTCACAAATATGAAATTAAATTTACTTGCTCAACTTTTAAAGTGAATATAATAATAATGATTGAATTCAGGGCATTTTTTTTAATGTAGAAATGGTGTGGACATACTACAGCCCACGTATTCTCTGCAGGTGATGAAATTCATTTGAATTCCCGCACATTCATACTGCCCGGAGAGCTGGAAGAGGTGCTCGATCTGAGCGCCGCTCGTTTGTCGGTGGTGCGTGATAACCTGGAGATGGCATTAAGGTAAGATGTAACAGCAAAACTAGAGTATACACTTATTTATATATATAATAAATATATATATATAGGGAGCGACGCTTAAGGTTTGAGAAGCTGCTGATTCAGGAGAAGCGTACTATGGATGGTTTTCGCATTCGAGAAATACGCGATGTGCTCACACTGGATGAGCTCAAGGAGCGGGTGGATACAGTGGACATACTCTTCACAACCATAGAGGTGGGTAGGGGTAGTAGTCATGAAATTGATCAATAAGACTTAGCAATATCTCGACAGAATCTAAGCAGAGAGGCCAAGGCAATAAATGTGGAGGAAGGATTGCTGCAGATTGATGTCTCCGCCTTTCCGCTGTTGGCCGAAATCATTGAGAAAATGGAACCAATTGAGAAACTATGGAAGACATCGTACGAATTCGAAAAGGATTATCTAATTTGGTAAGCAATGGCAACGCTTTTATAACGATTGCAATTATTTAAGACAACAAGCACAACACGAACAAATCGAGTCTGTTGCTGAGTATGCTCTTAGCTCCATTCGGCCACTTGTCGCAAATGACAAAATATTTGAAATTGAAGTGCCAGCCGGGCCGGCAGCAGTTAACCTGCTGCTGCCGTTGCTGTTGCTCCTGGGCATTTTCCAGTCTGGACGAGGCAAACCCGCAATGCAAATGCCAGCAGAAAGTTCACTTGAAGTGCAGAGGAAAATAGCCAGATTTGAGTAGTTGTTGGATGGAAAACTTGTGCAGCTTTCTTTGATATTTTACACACAACTCTCTCCTTCTCTCTTTCTGCCTATCTATGTTGAACCACTACTCAACTTTTTTGTACATTTCTATTTCTATTTCTATTTACATCTTTTTGCCAGGATGTTCGAGCGCTTCGAATGCCTTAATGCGGATGGCGTGCGGGAACAGATCGAGACCATGTTCAAGGTAAGTAGTTGGCTGGCTCTGCTATTCGGAATCGGAAGTTGCAACTTGCAAGCTGCAAGTTCTCATTGCAGGCGGAAATAAAAACCGAGCAGTGCGAGCACCGACTAAAGTTTTGAGCTTTCTCTTTCTCTTGTCGGATATCTGCTGGTTGCTGTTGGCAGTTGCCAGTTGCACCACTGGTCATGCATATCTCTGTCTGTCTGTCAGTCGCTTTGACCCCCTGTCCACTTGTCCTTCTGTTCCCCCTCTTCACTTCTAGTCCGTTGTCCGTCTGTAAGCCAATGTAGCAGCTAAAATGCAACTAAAAACCTCAAGCCTCCTAAGGGCAAAAACTGCACTCGGAAATAAAATCGCACAGAAATTAAGAAAATTGCCCTAACAAGTAGTAAAATTTTCTGATTTGTAGTTCTACTAAAAAAATATATAAAATAAAATAATTATACATTTAGCAAATCTTATTTTTATTTTAGAAATGTTTTCTATTGTTAATCAATGAATTTGTAAAAAATTGAAATAGAAATATGCTTTCTAACTAATGAGGTCAGCTGTTCTAGGCGATTTTTTAAATTTCATTGAGGTTTTTTCTGAGTGTATTACAACTACGACAGCCGAAAAGTATGCAACAGCAAAAAATGACAACATATTTGGCGGCAACTTGGGCAGCTAAGCGAGCGCTTATGTCTCTGTGTGTGTGTGTGGGTGTGTGTGTGTGTGTGTGTGGTTGTGTGTATGAGTCGGGCAGCATTAAAAAAACTACATCAAAGTGCAAAGGGAACGCCAGTTGAATTGAATTTTTTGGGCACAGCTGAAGCAACAAAGTGGGGACACATTGCAAAAGTAGCATCAAAAAACATGTGAAGTCTTGCGATTCAAATGTAAACGACTGTGAGATACACTAGTATTAGTGTCATAAGAACTGATAATATCTGGCAATGGGCTTGATTTGAGTGAAAGGTTAGTGAGTCTAAAATGAGTTGGAAATGTTAGTTGGATGAATTTTCTTTGTGTCAGGAATGGGTTTGATTCCTTTTGATTATAAGTAGACTAACATCCAAAATTAGACGAAGGAGTAAAAATATATCTGTGATTTCAGTACCAATATACTTTTCTTTTACATTTTTAAATGGTGTGTAAAAGGCAAGTAGCTATAAGCAAGGAAAGGGAACTGGCTTAACAGCCAGGGCAACGCATTGCACAGCTGACTTTAAAGAGTCAAAGCAGGACACCCACACACACATAATCTTGACACTTGACTTAGTGCGTCTCAAAGCTAATCGTCTTGTTCTTTGTCCTTATCATCACCATCATCATCTACACCATTATCATCATCATCACCATCATCATCTTCAGATTATGCACAAGCTGTCGCGGCAGCTATCCTACAATCCTGTGGCGAAACGCGCCGCGGAACAGATGCGTATCAAAATTGAAAAGTTTCGCGTCTATTTACCGGTGTTGGACTCGATTTGCCGACATGGACTGGAGAAGCGACACTGGGATAAGATATCGGAGATATTGGGCAGACAGATCAATCCGAAATTGTATCCCACTTTGAAGGATATGATTGATGCGGACATAATGAGTATACTGCCCGAGCTGGAGGAGATTGCGAATGCGGCGGGCAAGGAATACGATCTGAACATGGGTCTGAAGAATATGCAGGCCGATTGGCGAGATGTCATGTTCGAAGTGCTGCAGTATCGGGACTCGGATACACATATTCTGGCCACCATCGATGATATACAAACACTACTGGATGATCACATTATGCGAACGCAGGCCATGAAGCGTTCCCCATTCATTGTGGCCCTCGGCTCCAAGGCGGATGATTGGGAGGAGCGGCTGTTGCTCATCCAGAATATTATTGATGCGTGGACCCAGGTGCAGGTCACCTGGATGTATCTGGAGCCCATTTTCAGCTCGGAGGATATTATGCGACAAATGCCATTGGAGGGACGTAATTTCAAGGCGGTGGACAAGATCTGGCGACGCATTATGAAGAATACACTAAAGGATCAGCATGTAATGGCCGCCACCGAATATCCCAATATGCTGGAGATCTTCACGAAGGCCATCGAGGATCTGGAGACGGTGCAGAAGGGCTTGAATACATATCTCGAGCAGAAACGTTTGTACTTCGCCCGTTTCTTCTTCCTCTCCAACGATGAACTGCTCGAGATTCTCTCTGAGACCAAGGACCCCATGCGAGTGCAGCCACATCTCCGCAAGTGCTTTGAGGGTGTAAGTTTTTAGTTGAACTCTCCTCAAACTCGCTGAGTATTCGTTTTACTTCTTCTAGATTGGCACACTGACCTTTGATGAGAACATGGAAATCACACACATGATCAGCGATGAGGACGAGCGGGTTGGCCTCGTGCGCAAAATCAATCCACAGGCGGCAAATGTAAGTTAAAAAATTGATCAGATATTTTATTCTTAAGTCATAATTACGCTGCATAGGGTTTGGTTGAGATCTGGCTGAAAGAGGTGGAGTATGTAATGCTGGACAGCGTCATGGAGCAGATGAAGGAGGCGTGGGAAGACTATGCCATGGTCGATCGCATTTCCTGGGTGGTATCCTGGCCGGGTCAAGTTGTACTCGGCATCTCCTGTGCCGCGTGGACCGCTGAGGTAAGCAAAACTGGTAAAACAACATTTAAGCGACAACAACAGCAACCAGCAACCAGCTTTTTGCAACCGCAAAAAAATTGCAACCACAAAGGAGCGCCCCAAAGCCACTGCAGTTGTCTGTCTGTCTCTGACAGCGCGATTAGCCACGCCCCCTATCTCCCCCTTCTCCATTTTCCCACTACTGCTGCTGCTGTTGCTCTTTGTAAGCGAAGCGATTTCCCTGCTGGGCTTTGAGAGTCTCAGTATATTATATTTTTTTTATGTTTCCCCCGACTACAAAAATGAAAATCATATTTCGCCATTTATTTGCTTGGCTTTCTGCTCGGCATCTGTTTTTCATGCACTTTATGTTCTTGTGCCTCGTCTTGTTGTCTAGGTCGAGGAGGCCATCGAGAAGAAGACTTTGCCCGAATACCTGGAGAAGTCCAATAGCCAAATTGGCGACCTCGTTCAACTCGTCCGCACGGACTTGCAGACAGGAGTTCGCATTGCTGTCGAAGCACTGATTGTCCTCGATGTGCATGGTGAGTAGTTTTGGATGGATGGCTCTAATCCCATATAGTAACTGTATAATTGCTGATTCCTCACCAGCTCGTGATGTAGTCAAGTTTCTGGCAGACACCAAGGTGAGCAGCACACAGGACTTTGATTGGATCTCACAGCTGCGCTATTATTGGAAGGTCGATGAGAGTAAGTACGCTCTAAGTCTTCAAAATAAAAATCCTTTTTAATGTTAAGAAATTTTTTTTATATATCGAAATTATTTATAAAAACAGTTTTTTTCTTCTGCTAACTGCTCTTAGTAATCTTAACAATCTTCATTTGTTCCCCCCGCAGAGAATGAGGAGTGGGTGTGTGTGAGCATGGTGGTCACCGATGTTAAATATGGCATGGAATACTTGGGCAATTTGCCGCGTCTGGTGGTTACTCCTCTAACGGATCGTTGCTATCGGTGGGTAACATTTTTATGCCCATAAATAAAGGAACACACATACACACACTCGCGCTCATAAATATATGCACAAGCATACACAAAATATTAATTGACAAAACGTTTGCAAAACAGCTGAGCCACTGCGCTTGCAGGCTCATGGCTAAAAGTCATGAGAAGCAACGTTTATTGGGAAAATATTTATTTTATTTCGGTGCATTTTAAATTTATTTTCATTTTTTTCAACACAATAAGCAAAAAGAGCTGAAAACCTTTTTGATGTTTAAGCTGCCTACGACAAACGCAAACAGCAACAACAATAACAACAAAGCAACAATAACAAAAAGAACAACACTAACACTAACAAGACGAGCAGCGGCCACAGGACACAGGGCCAGGCTGGTTTCTGGCAAGCTGGCAGAAAGGACATTTTAATGGGGTTTCCGATAAAACTTTTATATTAAACAAATAAATCAATGTTGGACAGTTTTTCACACATACACACACACTAACACACACACGTGCATAGTTAAAAAACGAGTGTATAGATATATTTGTATGGCTATATATGCCGGAAAAGCTAAAAAATATACAACAAACGAACGCGAAGCTGGCAGCGCTGCCAATATGATAAAAATATGAACTGCACAGCAAGCAAAAAATTGAAAATATTGCGAAAAAGCTTGCCCACGACTTCAAAATACCCTAACATTAGCATTAAATATGAAAAGACAAATTCATAGATAATAATAAGAATACAAACTGAAAAATTTAAATATTCCAGCAGCCAAGTTGTATTCAAATGAATATAGAATTTGACAGAGGAGTAGGAAATGCCCTTTAGGCTCTTAAATTTCAAAATATTGAGACGGAATCCACTTACAAACAAGACTAAATTGAATTCCTGAAAAATGCTCAGAATAAATTGTAATTTATTAGAAATAGAAATATTGGATCCTTCCTTAACAAATACGGTATAATTAAATTGTAAAAAGCCTATTTGCTTTCAGTAAAAAATTATCAATTTTGAAGTAAATATATATAAAATATTTTTATGCTTTTGCCACAAACTTGAAGTTGCTGTTATTCTTGAAATCAATGTTATACATATATATATAAGCAATCAAAGAACAAAATGCAAATAAATATATTTATTGAAAGTATTATCTAATATCCCTATATGGTAATCTTTACAAGTGTATACAAATTCCTTCTCTAGATAACTTATTTTTAGGTTTGAAAAATGCTTGTGTATTTAGAGGACTGGCAAATATTTACATCTCTTATAGGCTTGAAGATGTCTACTGCCCTTCTGTCTGTCACATAATATTTACACAGCTTTATTATACCCTTGTTTTTCTACACATTTCATATGAGAACAGGGCATAAAAACTGGTACATCGCGTGGCGGCGGCGCAAAACACAAAAAATATGAATAAATAAAAATAAAATAAAAAAATGACCGTTACTGACAATTTTTTAAGCTGGCGCGTTGAGAATTGTGAACAAATGCAAAACAGATATTAAAAGCATACTACGGCATGTTGCCTGCCCCCTTGCCCCCTTTTATCCCTTTCCCCATGCATTTTAAAAAACCTCTTTTCTAATTCTCGTTTTGCAGCACTTTGATGGGCGCTTTAAAGTTATGTTTGGGCGGTGCTCCCGAGGGACCAGCGGGCACTGGCAAAACGGAGACCTGTAAGGATCTGGCCAAGGCCGTGGCCAAAAAATGTGTAGTCTTCAATTGCTCTGACGGCCTGGACTACAAAGCACTCGGCAAGTTCTTCAAGGTGAGTGAGTTGACCGCGTTCATGAATAATATTTCCATAGAACTGAGACGCTCTGTCTGCCCCGCTCAACCTGCTTGCTAGCCTGCCTGCTAATTAATGGCCCAATGTTGGTCAACAACATTAATCAAAGAAGAACCTGTACCAACGGGTAACGGGCAACTGGCAACTGGGCAACTGGCAATTGGCAACGGGCACGCGCGCACCAATCATGACTTTCGGCATACACAAAATGCACACTCAGAGAAAATCATTCTTCTCAACTTTAGAAAATTGTCAAGGGTAGCTCTGCTTCTTATTTAGAACGCATATTTATTAAAGGCAATCTTGTGTCTTTCTAAACCAGGTCTTTTCTCGTCTTAATTATAGCCTCGATTTTTCTAAACATTAACTTTTTATACTCTGATACTGGTTACGATCACTAGGAAGTTGGGAAATCGATAAAATCGATCATCAGAAATCTGATATGCCTATATTTCCCGCAATTTAAGAACTAAAGTTACCAAACTTGGAAGGTATTACGAGGAACATCTTTCAAGGGTTGGTAATAACTAAAAACATTTGTAGACCTGTTGTTTCTTACTTATAGTTGGCTGGCTTTACATTGGCACCATAGTAGATTGTCTATAATGCCAGCCTATATTTTTTCCAAAAATTAGATTTTTCATTTCTATGTGTTTATTTAGGAACATTATAACAATTTTTTTATAAATATTTTACATCAATATTTAATAGATAGATTTTCAAAAATTCTGCGCAAATTTTCTCTAAATGTATATACACATATAAGATGCACAGATACAAGATACATTTGAATTCTTACTATCCAGACACTGTGGAGCCGCTCGCCACTCACATCTTTACATACATACATACAAATCTATAAATATATACACTTCTATAGTATTGAAATTTATACAGTTCTGTGGGCTGACTAATTAGGCAGTTTGTGAAAGTAATCGCCGTGGCGACTAGTTGGAACTACACCAAGTGTTAAGGGCGAGTGGAGATTAGAGGTGCGAGTGGAGGGAGAAGAGGTTAGAACTTAAGGCAAAGCCAAAAAGCTTTCGTGTGCGCTCTCTTCAAATCTATGCAAATTTTTATTAGCAGGTCGTTAACCGCTCACGCACATGCAAACATACACACTGATACACACACACCTCTATCTACAGCTTAAGTGGGTGTTGTAGTTTCGTAGTAAAATTTATGCGTATTTTGCGCTCTAATCGCTTAATTCGCCAGCACGCCTAATTGCATAATGGTTTTAAGACCCCCCTTTCCTCTTATCAGATACGAGGGGCGGTGCGGGGGAGGGGACGAGGATGAGCTGGCTTTCGATGGCGTTAATTTGCATGCGAAAATAATGGCCAACGCTTCAGCTAAAATGTGCGAGACAAGAACCCACAAATTGAGCGTTCGAATTTCGATTTAGATTAATTTAATTTTGTTTTATTGCTATTTGTCCACTTTAAGCTGATGTGATCATTTTTGTAGATTTTTGTTGTTGTTTATTTTTGTATTTTAATGCTCACTTTAGTTTTTTAGAAAGTAGTTTCTATGCGGCTGTTTATGCCGTCTCCGTCTGCTAAAAATAGTTTAGCAAGTCGTAAATCTTCCATTCGCAAAACGCATTGCTTTATTTCAGTTTGCAGTTTGTCAGGCTAAACAATTTTTGCAAGCAATTAAATAATACTGCAATTGGCAAACAAACAAAATGCAAACTATTTCGTTTTGGTTTTCGATTTATGCCTGGCAAACTGAAATTGTTGTTGAATATGCGCCCATAAAATAGCCGCAACTATGACAGCTCCCAGCCCCATGAAAAACTTTGGTTGTGGCAATGAAAGTGCAAAAGCTGCTCAATGTCTATGAGCGCTAGTAGAGAGCTAGGAGGTGGCATGCAACAACAAAGAGCTGCCAATTCGCTGCGCGAGTATTGCAGCTGCCAACGGCAACAAACCACTTTGATAGAGTTCAAAGTATCCAAATGCCACGCGCAGTGCAAAGGCAAAGAATTGAACGCATAAAAAAAATGGTTACACAAACAAGGATCAAACACAGACGCATACACATGGATTCGGGCGCTAATTGCACAATAGGAACAGTAGCAACATCGAGAACAACAACAATAACAACAGACATCAACAACGACAATGACAACAACGACTATGTCTAGGAAAAACTGTGCGAACGCCCAACAGCATGTAAAACAGTTTTGAGTCTAGTTGTTGCATGTTGTTCTTCTGTGTGGCATGAAAAATGGGGGCAGCAGCCTCCTCCTGCTGCTGTTACTGCTCCTGCAAGCCAATGCCAGCGGAAGCCTCAATAACACATCAAATAACATGTGAAATGTCTGAGAGCAAATGACTGTTGTGCTGCTTGCATAATGAGCAGCATTTAAAAGTCATTATTAACATAAAGCTATAAGAATTATATAATCAGTTCAATTAACATTCGAGTTTAGGCCAAATCGCAGACATATATATATGTACATATATATATATATATATATTCATATGCTTATATAAACTAATCTTTAAAACGTTTATTGTTTATATTTAGCATTTAGTCTTCGGTCTGTTTTTTGTTAGCGAATCTTTAATCTTTAATTTATTTATAAATCCTCTATTTAATATTTATATATTTAATAACACCTCTAATTTACCGAACTGGGAGATTGTTATGATAAGCATTTAGAAGTTATAAAAATAAAAATTATATAATCAGTAAAGCTCCCATTTTAATTAAAGTAAGTAGTAAGATTATATTTCAGAGTATATTCACAATAAAATGCTTCATGTGTATAATTTATTCTTTGACCTATTCTTCGTAAGAATATATAGATGTATATACATATGTGAATTAATGATTTATTTAAATATTTAATATCAGTCAACACAGAAAAATACGAAAGAATACGAAAAATAAATTGAATTAAATTAAAAATAAAATTTAAAATTTAAATATCGTATAATTAAGTCTGTATGAAAACATATATGAATAATTATTTTATACTTCAGCCTGTATTCACAAATATTAAAAAGCTAAATCTTTTTATTTATTTTTTTTTTTAGCTTTTTTATCTTTAGGAAATATTCCGAAATCAATTTAGCAAAACATTATGGAAGACATATACTTGACTAAATATGTATATATAGATATACTTAAAAATGTATATTCATATCAAGTTACATCTATATATTTATGGCAGCTTTTATACTTAGAGCTCGTGTTCGTCAGAGAATCTTTTGAAATCAGCTTGGGAAAATAATTGCCGGTTGCAGTGCAATATTTAGAAATTTCAATCTCATAATAACACCTTTCATATGAAATGTATAAAATCTGTTCAAAGGGCACTTTTCTGCTGCTTTGGCGCAGCATCTGCTCATTGTGCAACAGTATACAGTATAGATATGCATAGAGAGCAGTCAGCTGGCATATGTTATGAGAGTGTGTACTTTGGTTCTGTGTTTGGTGCCACACAATGATGCTGCTGCGTAAAGCTGTATATTTATTGCAACATGCAGAAAAGAAAAGCATATCAAAGGGCGCCGCATTGGCATCGAGTCCCCGACTACCCGACTCCCCGACTCCTAGCAACCAATCTCACCAAGCCCAAGCTTGCTACTCCTCGTCGTGTACATTTGTAAGCCCTATTGCAATGTTTGTTGTCGGAGTAGAAGCATCGAAGCATTGGCAAACTACACACAGAACAGAACGTAGAATGGAGAACGGAGGTGAACATATAAATCGAAACAAACCGAACTGAACCGAACCGAACCGTACAAAAAAGAATACAACGTAACCGTACAAAAAAGAATACAACGTACAACGGGAGCGATGCGAAACTGAAAATAATGTTTTTGCTGCTGTTTGCTTTTGCTATTTTTGCAATTTCTCTGCTCCTGGATGCGTTTTGTTGCACACACATACATCCATAGGTATTTGCCTTCGCCTTTGCCTTGCCCACCTAACCAAGGCACACAATAACCATATTTGTATACCCTGAACTCCGTCACGAATAGTGAGAAAAGGATATAATAATTAATAGATTAATTTTATGGTAATTCTATTAAAAATAAAATGTAATATTTTAATTAAAAAAAAAAAAAAAATATTTATAAGATTTCTGGGTGCATTTAACATCAGCATTTGTTGCAGAAAAACCCAATCTGACCGAAATTAATATGACTTATAGTTACTTTTTGTCAATCGTAAAAATTGCAGCAATGTCGCATTAGAAGCAACCATGATATTCTCATATTGCTCTAACCCTGAAGCTCGTATTCGAGCACTCTAAACTCGCATTCTTGTTCGATGCACCTGTGCTCACTTACGCAAAATATACACCAATTAATATATAACATAGCCTAACATATTATTGATCAACCGTGAACATTTCATAAGAATCGCATAAGAAACACGCAAGTTATTCTCATATTAATGCTTATACCATACCTTATCTACCAGTCGATCACTCTGGACTAGCGCATTACTACTTGTTGTACTATTTACTGTAGTATTTTTTTGTTGTGCACACACACGTGTGTGTATATTTGTTTTTACTTGTTTTTTTCTCTATTTTTTGCAGGGTCTGGCACAGTCGGGAGCTTGGGCCTGCTTCGATGAGTTCAATCGCATCGAGTTGGAAGTGCTGTCGGTGGTCGCGCAACAGATTCTGACCATACAGCGGGCGATTGGACGTAAGGTTGTTAAATTCTTTTTCGAAGATACCATGCTCAAACTGGATCCCACATGTTCCATATTCATAACCATGAATCCGGGGTGAGTTGAACGTGAGATGCCACATGACTCCCACCCAGCAGCAGCTGCGGTTTCACGCATCCTATTCCCTATTTCTTCTTCTTTTTTACTATGATGTTCCCTCTCCGTCCAACTCTTTTGTAGTTTTATTTCTTTGTTTTTTGCAGCTGTGCATTTGAAAATGCATTTAGTTACTTTTGTAAGCCGACACGGCCTATGTCGACGTCCATGTTCACCATTGGGAACGCTGTCACTGACAGCACTCTGTGCTGGGCTCTGGCTACTGACTTGGGGGGCTGAGGCTATTAGTTACCAAAGACTGCTCTGGTCTGGTCTGGTTTGGGTTGGGTTTGCCTTTGGGCCATGGTCACGATATTGGTAGTTATTGCGTTATTGGAGATTTTAGCCCATACGGCTGCGGATATTTATTGCTTTGGCATGCCTGTGGAACAGCTGCGACAAACATGCATATTAGGCCTAAAACCCAACTCTCTACGAAAGGTCTTCATTTCGCTTGGCAAGCAACTCGTTAGTTTTTTTTCCTATTTTTTCTTTCTTTTGGCTGCCAATTTGTCACTGGCCCAGACGCTCTTGGGCTACTCGCACATCATGTCGGTTATTGGCTCTGGGTTTTTAGTATTTATGCCATTAGCACTTGCAATTTTGATGTATTTGATTGGCCATTTATCCTCTCTTCCACAGCTACGCTGGACGCACCGAGCTGCCCGATAATCTGAAGGTATTGTTCCGCACCGTCGCCATGATGGTGCCCGATTATGCAATGATCGGCGAAATAACACTCTACTCCAACGGATTCGATATGGCCCGTGTTCTATCCCAGAAAATTGTGCAGGCCTACAAGCTGTGCTCGGAGCAGTTATCCTCGCAGTCGCACTATGACTATGGTGGGTATTATTGAGAGACATATATTTTACAGCTAAATGGCTAATAAGCTCGAACTGGAGTTGAGTCAACCTTCGAACTTTCTACAGCAATGCCATGTCCTGTGCTTAACAGCATCGTGCATCCGTTCTATTTTACTCTAACTCTATCTCTGATTGTGTGTTTTCTTTGCACTTGTTTCAAGGCAAAGATATTGCGTTCGCTTTTACGACATAACATGTCATATGACATTACAATATGTGCGTGTGTGTGTGTGTCCGGCTGGGCTCTGTCTCTCTCTCTCTCTCTCTCTCTCTCTCTCTCTCTCTCTATGTGTGTGTATCTCTCTCTCTCTCTCTCTCTCTCCCATCTCTCTCTCTCTCTGTCAGCTGTGTAAGTTTATGTGCAAAGTACATTTGATCAGTATCTTATTTTGAGTTTAAATTGAAAAACTTTCTTGCAAGTTTTTGCAGCGCTTTTATGCTGCGTGTGTGAGAGGCAAATGCCACATACACAGACCCCCCACACACACACACCCCACACACACAATGTGTGTGTTTTTGCAAAGTAATAATACAAACTATTTGTACATTTAGTTGCAACTGCTTGTTGTTATTGCATGTCCAGCGAAAACTTGCAAAACTTTTGCATTTGCCACGTGGCGCCTGTATAATGAAGCTCACCGTTCTGGCCCTCCATTCCTCCATCTGTCTGTCGTCTGTCGTCATGCGACATGCCGGAGACACAAACCGTTGCTGAGTTATGAGCTGTCCACCAAAATGCCGCATAACTGTCAATGGCTAATTCCATCATGAACCCCAACCTCAATCACACCTCCAACCTTAACCCCTTAATGCCTTACACTCCCTTCCCCCATCCCTATCTTGGTTATGTCATCTTTAGGTATGCGCGCCGTGAAATCTGTGCTGTTGGCGTCCGCATCGTTGCGTCGCCTTTACGTTGACCTGCCGGAGCCCGAGATTGTTTTGCGCGCCATTGTTGACGTCAATTTGCCGAAATTCTTCGAACAGGATATTTCCCTCTTCATTGGCATCTATATGGATCTCTTCCCCGGCGTCGAGCTACCCATGGTGAGTCCTTATATATGTATATACTGTAGACATTCATAAATTGTCGGTGTAATGAGGCGCAAGCGACGCAGTTAAGAAACAGCAAATTAATGCGATAACTGGCATGTCGGATGCCCTGATAAAAGTAAATTAAAATCAGCATATTTTGCAGGGCGCACATTTAAATACTCTTTCGGGCGAGCTTATTTAGTCAACAGTTAACTGTGTAAGGTATATTAAAATCAGCATATTCTCTCTTTCAGGCAAGGGCTGATTTATTCAACAGCTAATTAGGCTTTTGGTATTTTAGTCAGCTCATAAATGTGACGTTTTCAATCAAAACAGGAATTAAAAAATGAAATTAAATGCATAATCTTATTAAAACTGTGTTTGTGATACTTATTTTTTATTTATATTTTACTTTTTTAATAGTTAATGTGAACTAAAACTAGTTGAAGCGAAATTTTAAATTATTATATTATTATATCATTTAAAAATTATCGACTAAATAGAAATAATAAAGTGCTATATAAAGCTACATTCATGCCTGTACTAACAGACTTTTTAACTTTGCCCCACGGCGCAGCAACTTTGTGTCGCCAACTGCATGGGGACTGTGTTGAAGCCTGTAGGGCTATAATGAAATGCCCATTCAAGCTTTTATTTGCTGTTGCATATTTCAATGCATGTTTTTCATATTTCATTTACACCTGTACTCCTTTTTTGCCTTACTCCCAACTTTTCCGGCTCTCATCTCTCATCTACTCCCATCCTGCAGCCGCAACGTGATGACATACTCAAGTGGCTGCGTATTAATCTGGCGGAGCGCAATCTGCAGGCAACACATTGGTATTTGGAAAAAATACTACAGATATACGAGATGATGCTGGTGCGTCACGGCCTGATGATAGTCGGTGGCCCGATGGGTGGCAAGACCACAGCTTATCAGGTGAGTGAGTGGGTGGGGCGGGCCCGTTGCCAATTAAATGGCGCGGAATTAATAATTGTGCTTTGGTTGGATAGATGCTCGCACTGACGCTGCGCAATGTGTCCACGGATGAGGAGGCCACGCTCAAGGAGTATCCGGTGGTCTTTCGCATTATTAATCCCAAGGCTATTACGATGGGTCAACTCTACGGTCGCTTTGATCCCGTCTCCCACGAGTGGTCGGATGGTGTCCTGGCGAAAACGTTCCGGGAGCAGGTGCAGGGACCGAAGGCTGAACGTGCCTGGGTCATGTTCGATGGTCCCGTCGATGCGGTGTGGATTGAGAACTTGAATACCGTGCTCGATGACAACAAGAAACTGTGTCTCATGTCCGGCGAAATTATGCAGATGACCAAAATGATGAACATGATGTTTGAGCCCGCTGATCTCGAACAGGCTTCGCCGGCGACAGTCTCGCGTTGCGGCATGATCTACATGGAACCATCGCAGCTGGGCTGGCGCGCCTTTCACAAGAGTTTCAGCAACGTGTTGATTAATATTGTGGGACTAAGCGATATTTATATGACACTGTTCGAGGACATGGTCGAGTGGTTAATACCGGCAGCGTTGCAATTTCTGCCACTGTGCAAACAAATGTTGCAATTGTCGCCCATTTATCAATATCAGACTTTCTCGCGCTTTCTGCTCTACTTTCTGGAGAAGCACAAGGTGTTCAATCAGACGTGGTTCCAGCAGATGTTCCTCTTCTGCTATGCCTGGGCCTACTGCTCGGCGCTAACGGGCAACGGTCAACGTACCTTTGACCAATTGCTGCGTAAGGTCATCTATGGCTCCAATGAGGAGTTCCCCAAACCAAAGTATTTCTCCTTGAATCGTGGCCAAATGTTTCCCGAGAAACAGGTCTTTCTCGACTATCGCTTCGATGAGGCTGAGAATTGGTGGACGTGGCAAAAGTCCTCCGATGATCCCACGTCGGGCAGTGCCCATTTTCCGGAGCATGCTCAAATTAGTGAGTTGATTGTGCCCACCAAGGAGACGGGCTATATTTCTTACTGGCAAGATTTCTGCATTGCCAATTCGTATGGCATGCTGGTCATCGGTCCCACTGGCACTGGCAAGAGTGCAATTGTTACGAGCAATCTGCTCGCATTGCCCAAAAATGCAAATCTCATTAATATAATCAACTTTTCGGCTCGCACCTCGGCACAAATGGTGCAGGATACGATCATGAGCAAATTGGATCGACGGCGCAAGGGCGTCTTTGGACCAGCTCTGGGCAAGAAGGTAAGGCAACAATAAAAGTTAAAGTTGCTTTAAAAGATTGATTGGTGTCCGCATTTAGTGCATAGTTTTCTGTGATGATGTGGCCATGCCCTCAAAGGATACGTATGGCTCCCAGCCACCGTTGGAACTGTTGCGCACCTGGCTGGATCATGGCTACTGGTCAGATTTGATGGATACAACCAAAATTGAACTAGTCGACATGGTGAGTGTGCCAGCAAATACTTGATAAATGAAAGTCACCTCTCTCTCTCTCTCTCTCTCTCTCTCACACTCTCTCTTACCACTCGACAATCGACAGAGTCTAGTCTGTGCGATGGGCACATTGGGTGGGAGTAACTTTATCTTTCCGCGTCTCTATCGGCACATGTTCGTTGTGGCCGTGGACTCCTTTGAGGATTCGACCATCATTCGCATATTCACGACAATTGGTGATTGGCACTTCGCCAAGGGCTATCCAGAGAAGGTGGCACTGCTCTCCCGCGTATGTTGCATGCAATCCACCCACGGCAACAACAGCACCAACAAAAACCACACACTGGGGAATCGCTGACTGGCTGGCTCTCTGCCAAGAAATAATAAAATTAAAATGGCGTATTTTATAACTTAATTTCACAAGAGGCTGCCGGACCACGTTCTCTGGTTGTTTTTGTTGCAATTGTTGTTATTGTTGTTGTTGTTGTTGTTGCTGCTGTTCTTTTTGGAGATTGCATTTCATGTCGAAGCTGGTTTTTCACAGGGCTTATCGGAGGCAATGGTCAGCGTGTATCGGGAGTCGATGCGCATCTTTTTGCCAACGCCAGCCAAATCTCACTACACCTTCTCATTGCGAGACATCACTCGCGTCTTCCAGGGCATTGTCATGGTGCCGGCCAAGCGTATGCCGGATCCGGAGAAGCTCGGTCGCCTCTGGGCCCATGAAACTTATCGTGTCTTTTATGACCGGTGTGTATAGCCTCAACTTTGTGTCGCCTCCGTTTTTCTTATTATTATTATTTGTCATTTGTCCCCTAGTCTGGTTGACCAGTTGGATCGGGACCGTTTGCTCATCATGGCCATCGATGCGTGCAAGAATTGTTTGCGTTTTTCACTCGAATCGGCCTTTGCCGACCGCATCGAACCCGGCGAGAAACTGAGCGACAACGATCTGCGCAATCTATTCTATGGCAATTACATGGAACCCGATGCAGAGCCAAAATACTATGATGAGTGCGAAAGCTACGAGAAATTGGAGAAGCTCATGAAATACTATCTGAGGGAGTATAATTCATTTTCCAGCACACCCATGGATCTGGTCATGTTTCGGTTTGCCATCGAGCATGTCAGCAGGTATTTAAAATTAATAATATGTAATCATTTAATAATTGAATATTTATAACATAAAATATTTTATATTTATAATATCCACCTGCTAATTTTACAGAGTATCTCGAGTGCTGCAAATGCCTAGAGGTAATATCTTAATGGTTGGCATGGGTGGTTCAGGTCGTCGCAGCTCCTGTCGATTGGCTGCTCACATTGCCGACTGTCGTCTGATGACAGTGCAGGTATCCAAGTCATATACTTTGGCCGATTGGCGAGATGATCTAAAGAAAATACTAATGGCATCCAGTTTCAATTTGAATCACACCGTATTTCTATTCTCTGACGCCCAGGTGAGTTACTTGCCATGTAGAATTAATTAACTCGTTCGGTATCGATCCATCAACATAAAAAGCAACAAGCAACTCGTTGATGGCCCATTAAAAGCGTTTTAATAATATTGTAAACTCCAAATAGATAGACAGCAGACAGCAGCGTATATTGGGTACAACAAACCCATAAAGTTATGTGTGATACTAGGAACTGGATATTATTCTAAATTAATTTAAATAGATATATATATATCTATTCTTGACATGGCTGTTGGACAAAATTAGATATGAGTGGGTAGCTGAGTGGCACACAACACTCATTGTTTTGCCCAAAATTTGCATTCATAATTAGGTTAATTGTTGAGCTGCATAACTTGATTGCGGTTAAATAATTTGCATATGCAGCAGCTATTAATTATGGAAAATGAAGAGCATTTTGTGCACAGCTCTCAAATCTCAAAATGCAAGTCAATAAATTAACAAGGACAGAAACAAATCGATACGTTGATAAAACAGTTAAGAAAATTCAGTTTTCACTCTGTCATAATTAGTATTGTATTATTAAAAGCTGACAAGCTAAAAGCCATTTGCCATCATGGTATAATTATATTGCTAGAATAACAGCGTGTTTTTTGAGTGGGAATGGTAGAATGGTATAATTAAGTTGTGCAAATATGTAATGAGTACAAAAAAGCATCTGCGAGTAGACTTAGCCATGGATGGAATCTCTGTATGAACTAGCTAATATTAGAGACTTTAAGAGCTAGCGACTTCAAATTGGAAATAAAAGTTCTTGTTTACTTCAGGCAAATCAAGTGTATTTTTTTTTTTATCGATAACTGCAGCCGTTTTGCGTATATTGATATAAATAGATGTCCGATGAAAATAAAAGAAACAATTGTAAAGATAAAGGGTTTCAATTGATATATAATTTATCAACACATTTTATTTATTTTGTAGACATTCATTTTTAATTCAAATCTAATGTATATTTACATTGTACAACAAGCCGAGCTGCATTTAGGATACCTCCCAATCGAGCTCCTCCGACTCGTGCACCCTAACTTGTTTAAATGTAGTTATATGAAACAATTGTGCCGTTAGCTGTTTGAAAACTTGCGAGTAACTTTAAATACATAGTTGATCCCCTAAAATCCAAGTGCATTTGCTTTATGCTGTGTACCTTTTACCATAGATAGAACTGCAACCAACTTACAGTGCAGACTTGTGCTAATTAAATCGTTGAGCAAATTCAACTATCTTTCTCTCCCAATCTATATCTCTATCTCTGCTGGCCAATCAATCAATGCTGTGTTTAGGTTTCGTTCGATGCACAAACACACACACACAAATCTCCCCAAGCACATATTAATTAACAATTACACTAAAATGCCTCAAAGAGATACAACTGCAACTGGAACTCCAGTTAGGGGAATCAAATCCTGTGGCACTTAGAGCCAATGCAAAATGCATGTTCCAGAAAATCTACAGCTGCTGCAGCCAGTCGCAGGTGCAACTTCTGCCTGCCTCTGGCACAATAGCATAAACATTTAGTTGAGAGTTGAGCATGAATTGGATTTGCATTGAATGAGATTTAGAATGACAATTCTCAATGGGGATACTTGTTTATTTACTACAGGCAACGGATGAGGGCTATGTGGAGGATATCAATGGTGTACTTAATACTGGTGATTTGCCAAATTTGTATCAGCTGGAGGACAAGGCATCCATTATGGAGAATATGGCAAATGTGGCCAAGCAAGTGGTGAGCATCTTCTCCCAACTACCCCTCTCCCTCTCCCTCTCTGATGAGAAAGTAAATTCCCCTTTAGGGCAAAGTGCTGGACTCGCTGCCGAGTGAGGTGTATGCCTACTATATCGAGAGGATAAGGGAACAATTGCATGTTGCACTCGCCTTCTCACCCATTGGGGAATCCTTTAAGGAGCGCATTCGTGTGTATCCCTCACTAATCAATTGCTGCACCATTGATTGGTATATGCCCTGGCCAGAGGAGGCATTGGCAAGGGTGGGGACCTATTTTGTCACATCTATGCAGCTGAATAAGCCACACGATGAGGAGGAGACGCCACGCATCGCGGAGGAAGTCCCTCAGGAGGGGGAGAAGCGTGAAACAATGGGTGAGGTGGATCGTGAGCTGACGCAGTTAGAACAGGATCTGGTCTTCTGTGTGATGTACTTTCATCAATCGGTTGTGGATGCCAGCGAGAAATGCTATCTGGAGTTGAGTCGTCGCAATTATGTCACCCCTTCGGCATATTTGGAGCTGTTGAAAGCTTTTAGCACCTTTTACGCCCGCAAGCTGGATGAGATTACTAGACTACGTGATCGATACACGACTGGTTTGGAGAAACTCGACTTTGCTGCCAGTCAAGTAGGTGAAATGCAAACGAATCTTTATGAGTTGCAGCCCAAGTTGAAAGTGTTGTCCGAAGAAACGGATCGCATTATGGTGAATATTGAGCGGGAGACGGCTGAGGCAGAGAAGAAGAAGGAAGTGGTGGGTGCAGATGAGGCGGCTGCCAATGAAGCAGCTGCTGCTGCTCAGGCCATCAAAGATGATTGTGAAACGGATCTCGCTGAAGCTATTCCCGCCATGGAGGCAGCACTGGAGGCTCTGAACACGCTTAAACCAGCTGATATTGGTGTTGTCAAATCGATGAAGAATCCGCCATATGGCGTCAAGTTAACTCTGGAGGCGGTGTGTGTTTTGAAGGGCATTAAACCGGATCGCAAGCCAGATCCCAGTGGTCATATGGTGGAGGACTATTGGGGCCCATCAATGCGCATGCTAAGCGACATGAAATTTCTGGAATCACTGAAAACCTTTGACAAGGACAACATACCGCCACCGATTATAAAAAAGATAAGAGAAAAGTAAGTGGATTTTTTTCTAAATTGTAGGTCTTTTATTTTTTATATATTCCACAAGATATATAGCTGATCGTGACTTTGTGCCGGAGAAAATCAAGGCTGCTTCGATGGCCTGCGAGGGCATTTGTCGCTGGGTGCGTGCTATGGATGTCTACGACAAGGTCGCTCGCATTGTGATGCCCAAGAAGGCGGCACTGGCCGAAGCCGAGGGTGATCTCTCCTCACAAATGGAGAAGCTCAACGCGAAGCGGGCCGAGCTGCAGGTAATCCTCGACAAGTTGCAGAAACTAAACGATTTCTTTGCGGAGAAATCGCGTGAGAAGAAGCGGCTCGAAGACGACATCGAGAACTGTGAGAAGAAGCTGACAAGGTGGGGTAGAAAGAGGGAGGGAATTAAATTCTAATCTTAATAATTATTCTCCATTTGTTGCAGAGCTGAGAAGCTGTTGGGTGGCTTGGGCGGGGAGAAGACTCGCTGGTCGGAGGCGGCCAAGAATCTGCACGAATCCATCAGCAACATTGTGGGCGATGTTCTGCTCGCCGGTGGCTGCACCGCCTATCTGGGCTTCTTTACCACCGAGGTGAGTTAGTTGGTCAAACATTTGCAGCAGCATCCCTGCTAATGGTCCTGCTTTTTGACCAGAAGGGATTTTAATATGCATGAGCACGTTGCATTGATTCGCTTTTTTTCTTCCTTTTGCTGAAGGTCCTCAGAACAGCATGCAGCTCTGTTGATGAGCATGTCAGACAGGGTTGTCCTACTCGTGTCGGACTATGTTATATCTTAATTATACAATGGGATAAAAGAAAAAGTAGAATTAAATTTAAAAAATTAAGTTTCAATATCTTGTGACTATATATATCAGTAAACTTAACTTTATTTTCCCATACTTGTCTGAAAACGCAATTTACCTATAAGTTAACAGATATTGTGGTTAACTAGAGCTATATAAAGTATAGAGTATCTGCACTTCGTATTACTCTCACTCGCTTTCTAGCCCTAATCTTTTTTTGCACAATTTTGTTGCTATTCACGTTGCTTTTTTTCAATTTCTCCGCCACGCGTTTAGTTTTACGGCTGACGTGACATTTTTATACACAATATGTATATATATATATGCATTTAGTATACGGGGTTTGTTCAGTAAAAGCAGCTCGCATAAATGCACAAATGCTGACATGTTAATATTCAAGCCAAAAAAAGCATGAAAAAGACTATCTTAGGCAAGCCGCAGCTGAAATAATAATATATTCTATACAATTATTCTATACAAATAAAAAAACAGGCAGATTGTTGCTTTGAAATCTATATACGTATAATCCGATTTTTATAATTTTGTTTTTAAATATTAGGAGCATAATAGCATGCATAAGAGTTCAGAGATCAGTTTGCTTGGATAAGTTGGTAAACGAAAATTTTTCACACAAAATCTCATTTTTCAAAAGATTGTTTCAATGGCAGTTATAAGATATAGTAATCCAATGTTGCTAAGATAATCTTAAGATAGCTTCAAGGCTGTTGCAATAGTTAGCATAGTTGACATGGGTATACAAATTGGGATAGTGAGAGAAAATAATGACCTTATGCGGTCGGAGACAGTTCCTTCAATGCGTTACAAACTTGACGATAAAATTATGATACTCTCTACAAGGGTATAAAAAGGAAAAGTTGCTTGAGTTAATAGATAATTGTGAATTTTGCTGTTTTTTTAACAATTCTAGTATCGCGTTAACATTCTGGATGATTGGAATGCGATCTGCGCTCGCCGCCATATACCCAGTAGTGAAACTTTCTCGCTGGCCACCACACTGGGTCACCCGATGACGATACGGGCCTGGTCGCTGGCTGGACTGCCGGCCGATAACTTCTCTGTGGAGAATGGCATCATTGTAACGAACTCAAGTCGTTACTCCTTGCTCATCGATCCGCAGGGTGAGTGAATGCGAAATCTGATTAGTAATCCCATATTCAAAGCAATCCACATTAGTACAAGCAAACAAGTGGATTAAGAACATGGAGAAGAATAATCATCTCAAGGTGATTAAGCAAAGCGATGGCAACTACATGCAAGTCTTGGAGCTGGCAATCACATACGGACAACCCGTGCTCATTGAGAATGTGGGTGAGTGTCACAAGGAATAACACACGAATAATCGGCAAAAAATGAAACTGATATTTAAAGAAGCTGCTGTAGTGTCAAATAAATGTTTAACAACATTTAACATTTAACATTTGCTTAGGCGAAAAACTGGACTCGAATCTGACGCCCATATTGGAGAAGAATATAATCAAGCATAAGGGTGGGCTGTTCATAAGAAGTGGCGACACAATGATTGAATACAATCCCGATTTTCGTCTTTACATAACGACCTGTCTGCGCAATCCGCATTATCCGCCGGAAGTGATGGTTATGGTAAGTTGACATATGCAGCGACAACTAGGTGCCCCAAAAAGGGACTGCTCTGTGGATGATGATGATGACGGAGTTTGTGGCAAGCCAAGCCAATGATGACGTTAGAGTGTTGTGTAATAAAACGACAAACTTAAATTGATATTTGTAAAATGCGCTGCAGCGCAGCAGGCGCTAGCAATATGCAAATTTTCGATGACGACAATGAGGATGAGGATGTGGATGAGGATGACGACGTGGTTGTTGAGGACATCCTATTGATGTACGTGCCCGACTGGCTGCTGTCTGTTGGCGTCCGCATAACTAGCAGCCCAGTCGAGGTCTTCGCCTCAGTCTCAGTCCCAGTCTATATGTTTCTAGTCCTGCTGCTCCTGGCGTGTTTATAAAATGTTCCAGAATTTCGCTTCTGTTGGCGTTTCCATTGCTTTTTATGCAGCAACTGTTGTCAGCAGTTTTTGGCCCTTTTCCATTCCCTTTTTTATTTTTTTTATCTCCTTCCTCTCTCTCTCTCTCTCTCTTTGTGTGTGTGTATTTATTTTTGAGTTTCATTTTACCCATTTTACGATTCCTCGATGCTCTCACTCCGTGTTTAGGTAACAGTATTAAATTTCATGATAACGGAACAAGGATTACGCGAACAATTGCTGGCGATTGTCGTGGCCCACGAGCGTCCTGATTTGCAAGAGAAGAAGGAACAATTGATTATTGAATCCGCAAGGAATCGTGATGCATTGTACACCATTGAATCCAAGATATTAGAGGTAAGTTTTTACACACTGAGAAAAAAAAGGTCTTAAAATAAATCTCGCCCGAAGAACTAGAAATTATGTTCTGTTTCTTAGAAATAAGTTCTAAATATAGAACAAAAAGCAGAGACAACTAAGAATTAAGAAGCGAAAAACCCTGAAAATTAGATTTATACTCTCTGAATTAGAAATTGAACTGTTCTTGATGATTTTCAAAATGTCAGTGGATTTTATTTTCTGAGTGTAGTGTGTCCTCTTTAACTCTTTCTTTATAACTCTCTGTCTGGTTGTGTGCTTGGTGCTGTTATAATAAATATGCTTTGTATTGAGCATCCTTTTTGGGTTAGATACAACGCTATTCAATTAGAGTCGTACAAACAATTTATGGTGCTCTGCCTTGGCCAATGACAATTCAATTAATTGGAAGTAAGGAAAATTTACTAAAAGCGTACTTTATGATTGCAGGTGCTGTCTACCTCGGAGGGTAATGTGCTGGAGGATGAGAATGCCATCAACATACTATCCTCGAGTAAAATCCTGTCCGAGGATATACAGGAGAAACAGGTTATTGCCGTTGCCACCGAGATTGAAATCGATGCTGCCCGCCGGCAATATATACCCGTGTCCAAACACTCGGCCATTCTGTTCTTCTGCATCAGTGAGCTGGCCAATGTGGATCCCATGTATCAATACTCCCTGGCCTGGTTCCTCAATCTCTTTGTGAACACCTTACTGAAGGCGACCAAGTCGGCAGTGCTAGCGGAGCGTTTGAGCAATCTCAACGATTACTTTACCAAATCAATTTATACGAATGTCTGCCGCTCGCTTTTCGAGAAGGATAAGTTGGTCATCTCGCTGGTCATGTGTCTGGGCATCCTCGTCTCACAGGGCCGTGTCGATAAGAATGAGCTGTTGTTCTTCCTAACCGGTGGCATTGGCTTCAAGAGCTTGATCAAAAATCCATTTAGCGATTGGCTGCCCGACAAGGCCTGGGAGGGCATATACCGAGCCAGTGATTTAGATGGGTAATAGAAAAATGATATAAACCATCATATTTTAATAGATTCTTCATTGTTGGATTTCCTCCCGTCAGCTTGAAGAGCATGCACGCCCAAATTGGACATAATTTGCAGAGCTGGCATGATTATTACGATGCCATTAATCCGCAGGATCTACCGCTGCCCACGCCCTATGACCAGGTCAACGAAATGTTGTACCTGATAATCCTAAAGAGCCTACGGCCGGACAAGTTGGTGCCAGCAGTGCGCGTAAGTGTGATACCCATACCTAGGTACGAGTATATATCGAGTGTACCTTTCTGTTTTTTTTTGGGTGGGGGTGGTGCACAGGCTTTCATCACACAAAACCTGGACAAGTCGTTTGTGGAGCCGCCGCCATTCGATTTGGGCGCCTCGTTTGCAGATAGCTCGCCAAAAATACCGCTGGTGTTTCTGCTTTCAGCTGGCTCCGATCCCATGGCCAGCCTCTTTATGTTCGCCAAACAACGCAACATGTACGACAAGTAAGTTAATTAACGAAACCAACCAAGAGTGAGTCAGTCGGTGAGTCGATGAATGAGTGAATGAATAAGTTCCTCTCTCATATTTCCGTGTCCATGTTGAGCGGCAATGTTGGTGTTTTTCCCCTCTTTGCCCAGCAGCCTGCGCTGGGGACTCTTGCTGGTTTTCGATTAAGCGCGACATGTGCGCCTTGTACCGCTATCGAGTGTGGGTGTTCAATTTATAGCAGCCAGCAATTGCTGCACTCAAAAAGAGGGGATAGCTATTTAGCCCCCAGCAAATTCATTCCAAAATTTGCGTTCTTAAATGAAACGAAATAAATAAATAAATACGGTGTAAATATGTTAATTATGTTATATTATTTTCATATATTCATGTACATATTTACTTATAATTATATATATTCATATTTTGTAATTCTGCTCAGCTCGTAATTTGCGAAGCAAAGTTGCATAAATAACGCAATTGCTGCTCTTACTTTTTTGAAGTGAATTTATGCCAAGCGCGTTTTGTTTGGTTGCCTCTCTCCACCTCTCTCTGCCTCTCTCTCTGGCAGATTGAAAACCATATCGCTGGGTCAGGGTCAAGGACCGCGTGCGGAAAAAATGATCACGGAGGCGGCACGTCACGGCCAATGGGTCGTCCTGCAGAATTGTCACGTCGCCTTCAGCTGGATGGGTGACCTGGAGCGCATCTGCAATGATAACACACTAACAGATGGTGCACATGCCGATTATCGCCTGTGGTGCACATCGTATCCGAGTGCCGTGTTTCCCGTATCCGTGCTCCAGAACTCCGTCAAGATGACGAACGAGCCGCCAAAGGGTCTCCGGGCGAATATGCATCGTTCGTTCACCTCGGATCCGTTGACACGCAGCAAGTTCTTCACGAATGCCTTCCTCTTCTCGGACCAGGCTAACAAGTGCTGGCTGAGAGGTGTCTTTGCCCTGGTTTTCTTCCATGCTGTTGTTCAGGAGCGTCGAGAATTTGGTCCACTTGGCTGGAATATACCCTACGAGTTCAATGAGTCCGATCTCAAGTGAGTAATTGATGGAGATTCCCTAACATTCTTCTATTTATAAATGTGTTCCTGCAGAATCTCATTGTTGCAGCTGAAAATGTTTATTGCTCAGAGTCACAGCATTCCGTTCCGGGGACATGTTTATCTGACGGGCGAGTGCAATTACGGCGGACGCGTCACCGATGACAAGGATCGTCGCCTGATACTCTCCCTCCTCAATATGATCTACAATAGCAACACCATCGAGGAAGAAGAGTACGTTTTCTTGAGTGCCCATTTTTTATTTGTATATTATGCTTTGTCCCTTTAGATATGCCTTGTCCCAGTCTGGTGACTATCGCGTGCCCATCAGTCCCACGAAAATGAACTCCATTGAGTACATTTCCACATTCCCGCTCAGTCCGCAACCCGAGGTGTATGGCCTGCATGCAAACGCAGACATCAATCGCAATGTGAAGGAGACCAATGCGGTAAAACATTATTCAACTATTTATGCTCATATTTGCTATGGGGGTTATCTTAATTGGGTCACGCATTGAAAACCCAAATTCATTTTTGGGCTAGGTTTTTAATAATTTTAAATTTAAATGCAGTGTTGTTTTAGAAGTCAAATCATCATTAAAACAATTATGATACTGGAAAGTTTAGACCTATCACTATTTTTATATGAGTATAAAGTTCTTGACAAAGTTATGATAAGAGTGTCAATAAGTGTCAATCGAGGTCGGATATTACTTTATCATTTATATAATTAATGTATTTCTTGTACCAACAGCTGATTAGCGGAGTACTCCTGACTCAAACGGATTTGATGGCCTCGGTGAAGGCGAGTTCGGCAGGCGGTGCCAAAGAGGATCCGGCCATATCCATATGCAAGGAGCTGCTGAAGCGCCTGCCCGACGAGTTCGACATCGCCGAGGTGTCCAAGACCTACCCGGTGATCTATACGAATTCGATGAATACGGTACTGCGCCAGGAGCTGATACGCTTCAATCGACTGCTGTCCTATATACGCAAGAGTCTGGTGAATGTGGGCAAGGCTGTGGTGGGTCAGATTGCGATGATACCGGAGCTGGAGCGCACTCATGCCTCGATGATTATAGGCAAACTGCCGGCGGATTGGCTCAAGAAGAGCTATCCATCGCTGAAGCCCCTGGGCAGCTATGTGAACGACTTGTTGGCGCGGTAAGTTCAAAGCCGCATTTTTATATTTTCCGACTAGTCCGATTGGCAGCCATTGTGTTTGCCATGTATTCCATGCATTATCCCCCCACTCCGTTGAGCACCCTACTAGATGCAATTGTGTAAATATAATAAATGTGTATTGCACATGTGACACACTCTCCTTCTCCTTCTCTCTGCCCTTGTCCCATTCACTTGTTGTTATTCAATGCTGCCATTCATGACCAAAATCTTATTTGCCATTGACATCAAAGGATGATGCTGCTGCTGCTGTCTGCTCCTGCTATCCACCGCACCCTCCCATGTTCTTTTGTGATCAGATATTTAATATTTATTAACAAAATTGAAAAATAAGATAACTCATCGTTGCCACATCGTTCTCCACACCAGCTTGGCCTTCTTTCAGGACTGGATCGAGAATGGGGAACCGAATGTTTATTGGATCTCTGGCTTCTATTTCACCCAATCATTTGTGACGGGCGTCCTACAAAACTATTCGCGCAAGAATCGCTTTCAAATCGACATGATTTTCATTGAGTTTGCGGTCACAAAATTCGAATCACAAACATCTCAAGTAGCCGATGTGGGCGCATACATCAGGGTAAGATATGGCTTTAGTAAGCTAATACAAATTAAACTGAGTGATAAAATTTTTTTATTATTTGACATGCAAATTGTTTTTAGGAACAAAAAGCTATAAATGACGAGACCAAGTTCATACAAGTAAGAAAGAGAATGTGTTTACGTCAATTCTGTAGAGCCGAAATTTCCGTTTATAATTTAATTCTATTCAATCTACACTAAGGATAAAATCGCCCTATAATATAGAAAATTACCCCAAAATTAAAATCGTCTTGAAAATAAGAAAAATGTTCCGTTTTTTCAGAAATAATTTCTAGATATACCAGAAAAAATTGATTTAAGTAAGAAAGCATCTTTTATTATTTAGAAATTTTTTCTATTGCTAATAAATCTTTATGTGTAATACAATTTACACCCAAAAAAAAATACTCTGGATGTTGGATTTATGTTTTCCATATTTTAGAAATATCCAATCTTGCAATCCAGAAATAATTAAATAAACAATATAAATATACGTATAGTTTAATGATTTTCTCAAATTCAGTGCGATTTTTGACTTAAGTGCATATTAATTTTTTCCTTGAATTAATGAATAACACTTTAACACTTAGATCTTTCTTTTTGTATGTTAAGTTGCACGCATTTGTCTTATATCATTTAAGACAGACCTTAAACAGTTGCTTTAGGTTTCTAGCAGAGCATTTTCATTTTATTTCTGAGTATTTAATAAGTCTTTCTTCTTTGAATTATTATTATTTGAAGTAGCTTAACATGTAGATTGAGCTGCATCCATTTGCCCCCATATCATAATTAGCCATGTTGTAAACAGTTGCTTTGCGTTTCTCGCAGGGCATTTTCATTGAGGGTGCACGTTGGAATCGCAAGACAAAAGAAGTGGATGAATCTTACTCCAAAATCTTGTTCGACACTCTGCCCGTAATCTATCTGCGTCCGGTGTTAAGATTGCCTGATGAGCAGAAGCGTGGCAGCGGCGGTGCTGAGCCAATGGCAATTTACGATTGTCCCGTTTACAAGACGAGCGAACGTCGAGGCATCCTTTCCACCACGGGGCACTCGACGAATTTTGTGATGTATCTGCAGCTGAGATGCTCCCAGACACCGATGCATTGGATTAATCGAGGCACTGCCTGCCTCTGTCAGCTGGATGATTGAATATTGACCCGTTGGCATCCGCCGCGCCGGATGAGCCACAACACGCAACGAGACTTTTATGGCGAATATGGGTATGGAGAACTGAAATTGAGGACTGCTGGACTGTATGGAATCATCATACACACATTATACACATATCATATATACATATATATGTGTATGCAGATATACTTTCGATTTTTGTATTATTTTTTTTGCTGTGTGCTCGAATGGGGAAATGGCCAAAAGCGAATTGCAATTCTATGTATTTATTTTTTCGCCCATTTCGGAGAATGCGGCAACGGGAAGTGGGTCGAGTGGCATTTTGATGATGATGTTGATTGCCAGATATATAAATTAAATATGCAGAATACCGATTGTATACATGTATATATATTTTTTATGTGCGCCATTTACAAATGAATAAATGACAAAATGAAACGGGAGCATGTTTTCATCAATGCAAACTGGTTGTAAATTTAACGATATATAAATAAAAACATATATAAAGATATTTGATACAATATGCATTGCAAGGCATAACATCAATTTAGAATAGACAGTTTTTAGTCAAGGTCTTCCCATTAGAAAAAAAAACCCCTTAAACGAGATCTGAGAGCGAGATCGATTTGAATCCGAGCTTCACTAAACTATAAAACAATCTAAACTAATGTGTTGTCCATACATTCTAAGCAATAACAGACGCCTACATAATAATCTGATGATGATGTTGATAGTCCGTTTTAGCCAGGTTATCTAAACATTTGAAAAGATTTATTGTGTGCTTTGTGCATAAATTGGAGCAACTCAAGCTTTAAATTTAAATTAAAAAGCATATAAGCCGACTCAAATTGAAGTATGCAAAAACAGACAAATGAAACTATTATATCATCTGTCTATTAATAGTCAGCCTAATGTGGCATAACCGAAAATAGCAACACTCAACACCTCGTGTTCATCACAGCACTCACTTTCAACACACACAGCAACTTGGCCTTAAGCGTTGATTGAGAGTCGCCAAAAATTGATCAACAACAAAAATAAATTAATAAATAAAAAAGATGCGCAGCTGTCCATCAGTCGATAAAATGAAGAAGCCTCCATCTAACGATGATAACAACAATAGCAATATTAACGACAACAACAACGAGAACAACAACGACAACTTCCGCTTGCAATTACCAGGCGTGTAGGCAGCATTGAAATCTATCGATCGATCTTTGGTTGGGTCGTTGTATCGTTAAAGTTGACCCCAGCCAGCCAGTCAGCCAGTCAGCAAGCTATTCATATGCAATAAAGCATCATTCAGTTTATACTGAATGTGATACAAATAATCGAGACGACTATCAAAGCACACGCGAAGAATGCAAAGAGCCCTCGACCATTGTTAATTCTGACAAACAATCCAAAAATCGTGGCCGCCACTTTTAACATGGTGATGTTTTTTATAGCCGACAACCCATTCAAAATGGTTACAAAGGGTATTATGAAGTTTGGCAAAAGTATGTAACAGGCAGCACGGGAAGCATTTACGAACCCTTGAGAAATATATATTCTTGGCAGATGAGACTACAAATTTGGAATAAAAGTTCTCGTTTACCTTGCTTATTTAATTTTATCGATAACTGCAACTTATTGCTTATATCGATATAAATCAATGGACAATAGCAATTCTAACGGCCTTCAAATTTGTGTATAATTTTATTACCCAATATATTTTTTATAGACATATTATCAATCAACTCTAAATATTTCATTAAAAACTTATAAAAAAAAAACGGAGCTTTTTATTAGCCAAAATACATATTTTCATACACAGCAGCTAACACAATTTAATAGAAATGATCTATTTAACAGCTGGACTGGGTATCTGCCAGTAGAGCACTCCCGTCTCTCTAGCATTCTTACATGCTTTTAGTTTTTGCTTTTGTAAAAGTTTTTGAACAAATGTGGCGCGTCTTCGAGCTGCTATTGTTGACTTTCGTTTTGTCTTAGCTCTAAATATGTATTTGGTATTATTAGTTGTATGCTTTTTTTAGACTAGATAGAGCCGAGTTGAGTCGAGCCGAGCCGAGAGTACAATCGATGTGCACAACTTGAGATATACTTTTGACAACAGCATTTTGGACAAGATCAGAGTAGACAAGACAAACCACTAAGCGCGGCTAATGCCGACCATCAATGAAGATTGAAGATGTGGCGGTCGAGCGACTAGCGACGAGTCGATCATTCTACTCAACTCGACTATGATGCGGTAGTTGCCGCATGGATATCTCTCATCTGAGCAACCGGTTTCATTATGGATTGGCTCGACTCGTCTCGTCTCTAAAGTGAATGGCTGTACTGATTGCTGCTGCTGCTTCTGCTGTCGGCGAGAACTTTTTCGCAAACTCTTCGTGTATAAATAGTGTGGTAAGGTCTGGTTTGAAATCAGAATCAAATTTGGATTAATCTCATATAGACACGCATCGTCTGGGAACACATCTTTGAACATGGTTAGTTGGCCAGCCTCGCTTGGAGTTCAACACACACACACTCGCACACACAGGACTAAATCTGTTATCCACTGTGTTCTTCTTACAGAAATTCTTGGTTATTGCTTTCGCTGTGATCGCAGCTGCTGCGGCCACATCCATCTCCACCGAGTATCTGCCGCCCGTCGACAATAACATCGAACTTGCCGAATCTGTGGACGCACCCGTTGAACAGGGTGTGCTCGCCGATGATGGCTATCGCTACAAGACTGTGCGTCGCCTCCGTCTGCGCCATCGTCGTGATGTCAACGAGCTGTCCAACGAATATCTGCCCCCAGTTGGTGAGGCTACCCAGGAAGTCGCCATTGAGGCTCCAGCTCAGGAGAGCGCCGTCCTTGCTGATGATGGTTACCGTTACAAGACCGTTCGCCGTGTGATCCGTCGTCGTCGTCGTGACGTCAACGAGCTCTCGTCCGAGTACCTGCCCCCTGTTGGTGAGGCCACCCAGGAGATCGCTGTCGAGACTCCCCTGGCTGATGATGGCTATCGTTACAAAACTGTGCGTCGTGTCATCCGTCGCCGTCGTGATGTCAGCGAGCTGTCACCCGAATATCTGCCCCCTGTTGCTGAGGTCAGCCAGGATATCGCTATTGAGGCTCCCGTCCAGGAAAGCGCTGCTCTCGCCGATGATGGTTATCGTTACAAGACCGTCCGTCGTGTCATCCGTCGCCGTCGTGATGTCAACGAGCTGTCCAACGAATATCTGCCCCCAGTTGGTGAGGCCACCCAGGAAATCGCCATTGAGGCACCTGCCCAGGAGAGCGCCGTCCTTGCTGATGATGGCTACCGTTACAAGACTGTCCGTCGTGTGATCCGTCGTCGTCGCCGTGATGTCAACGAGTTGTCCAACGAATATCTGCCCCCAGTTGGTGAGGCTACCCAGGAAATCGCCATTGAGGCACCTGCCCAGGAGAGCGCCGTCCTTGCTGATGATGGCTACCGTTACAAGACTGTCCGTCGTGTGATCCGTCGTCGTCGCCGTGATGTCAACGAGTTGTCCAACGAATATCTGCCCCCAGTTGGTGAGGCCACCCAGGAAATCGCCATTGAGGCACCTGCCCAGGAGAGCGCCGTCCTTGCTGATGATGGTTACCGTTACAAGACCGTCCGCCGTGTGATCCGTCGTCGTCGTCGTGACGTCAACGAGCTCTCGTCCGAATACCTGCCCCCAGTTGAGCAGGCCGTGATCGATGTGCCCGCTGAGCAGACAGTCGTTGCCGATGATGGCTACCGTTACAAGACTGTGCGTCGCCTGAAGTACCGTCGCCACTAAAAAGTTCCAACCAGCCCGAGGATCTGAGCCGATCTAAAGGTACCCACACATAAGCGTATTAGTCAATGAGAACGAGTTATGAATAGTTCGAGTACAAAAAAATGAAAAAGAAAAGAAAAACAAACTGACACAATAAAACATGTAAAACAAAAAACAAAAACAATTCCGTCTTTTATCTTTAGCTTTGCGCAAACTCACAGCCCAGTTTCGTATCTAATCTACAACATGATATGATAAGATACTCGCACCTGCGGCTCGGCAAAAATCGAGCACACTTTTTCAGTTCCAATTTGCAGTCAGCGACGTAAACGCTACAAATTAAGCAACTATACGAAAATTTAACGAAAAAATAAAATGAAGTTGTCCAAGAAATGCTCCACCTATTTTCTGATATGTCTGGGTAAAGTTAATGCTTATAACAGTTGAAGAGTGTATGGCAAGGAGCATAATTTTAATATGCAACAAAGTGACTAAAAATTGTGTAAAAATGTTGAATGACTAAACTCGAATTAAATCGAAAAGAAAAGCCGTATGAGTAACAAAACTGAGTGGGTGTGTGTGTGTCATAAACAGTGGAAACTCTACAAAAATGTGTCTTATCAGTAGTTGCCTTGCTGATTAGCCTGGCTTACTCATCGTTGTGTTTGTGCCAGTAATGAGTAATAGGTCAACATTTAATTTTAACATTATATTTTATTTATTTATTATTATCAATGTTAAATATTAAAGTCAAACATTTTATTATTTTGCCAGATAATTTCAATTAATACATTTTGTGTTTTTTGTTTATTTTCATATTATTTCAATTTCAATTTTTGTTAAATATTTGATTTGCGCCGTGTCTCACAAATGCCGGATGTGGCCTAAGCTCAATAATTATTTCACCGTATGAATTATTGAAATATGGAAAATACAATTAGATTTCGGTTAGCGGTCGCCCAATGTTGTTGTTGTTGTTGTTGCTAGTGTTGTGGTCTCTCTCTCTCTCTCTCTCTCTCTCTCTCTCTCTCTGTGGGATTCCTTGCGATTTATTTGCTGAAGCGCATATAATTCAATTGATACACAAAAAATAAAATAAAAATATGAAAAAAAAATTTCAAATGCCGAATGTCAACTAAATCAACCAGATAAATAAAATCGGCCAAGACAAAAGCGTAATAATAATCGAAACTGACATCCGCAATGAAACAATAGCACCAGTTAATATGCCATCATATTGAACCACTCAATCTATGACTCCGGACCCCTCACCCACCCCTTAAGCTATGGCTCAAGTGCTTACCTGATTTATCATCGATAGCAGCGCGCGCGAGTTCTGTTTTTTGTTTTATTTTATTTCATTTTTTTACTGCTCTTTTGTTGTCTTTTGTTGTTGAGCTTTGGCTTTGTAGTTCTTAATAATTAATTATTAATATTTAAGCAACTCGTTGCTTCTCATCATCTCTGTTTGATTAATGATTAACGTCGTTTTTGTTTTTGGCCCGAGTTCCGTTCTTGCCACGTTCCGCTCTGTTTGTTTAATGGGCCACACACAGCGCGATCTTCACATATTTTATTGTTATTTTTATTTTCTTTAGTTTTTTCTCACAAGGTGTTAAATAAATAATTGGCTTCTATTTTTGGCTCTTACAGTTCTTTTGGCATGCTGCTTGCAGGAAACAGAAGCAACGCGGCGTGTAAATCGCGGCCGACGCACTCTAACACGCAGATACTTTAGTAAGTACAAAATTAATAAAATAAGATGAAATGAAATTTAAAAAATTTTTAATTTAATTAAACCATAGATGGACTTGCCATTCCCGGGTGGGCAGTGGTAACGGTCGTGGCTGTTGCTGAGCTGCTGCTGGGCGCTGCTCTTTACTTCATCTTGTACAAGGTCATCCTGGACAAGGAGCCGGAACCGGCTAGTACTTATACGCCAGCACCCACCCATGATCCCACACCGACCAATGTGCAGCCCGTACAGCCAGCTGTACATCCCGCCGTACAGCCTGCCGTACACCCTGATGACGCATCCGATGTACATTCCACCATACAGCCCGCCGTACAGCCTGCCGTACAATACCCCGGAGTACAGCCCGCCGTACAATACCCCGGCGTACAGCCCGTGCCGCCTTCACATGCTACATCCGTTGTCTAAAAAGGCGGAAGTCGGCCAGCAGCTGAGTTGTGAATTGCCATTGAGTTGGCCATAACCGATACCAATAACTTAATTTAAATGCCACGTCCACCAAGCAACTACTTAAAAAAAAGCCCCTTCGGCTTCTAGACGTTATCTTCTTATCAATAATCGAATACAACTTTTATTTTGTTACAAATAAAATGTAAATTTCACGTCGATATCGAAAAGCTGGCGCTTTGTTTTTGTTCTTTTTTTCTAGAGATTGTTATTGGTATTGCTGTTTAACAGCGTCCATTTTTTGTGATCCAGTTGGTATTCCAATCGGTGTCTTTTTTTAAATATAGATGTATATGCATAAATCTTAGCACATGTGTCGACGCCGCCAAGCAGTCAGTTTGAAAGTTGCTTAACTATTAATCGAGGCGCGTTTTGCTCTTTTTTTTTGTTGTTGTGATTTGTTTTGTTTTTATTTCGCTTGTCAACTGAAACTGGTCTTAACTCAACTTCACCGCCATCGAGTCTGGGGTGCCGCTCAGTGTGTGTGGCATAACTTAAGGCGGCTGCTAGAATTGCACTAAACTTTATCCAATTCCTAGCAGACTTTTGAGCGACATTGTAAATAATAGCCAGCCAGCTAGCTAATCAGTGCTGACGCTTTGGCGGGGATGTAGCCAACATTTTTGGACTTTTAGTTTGCATATGTGCTGGGATTTGATCAGTTGTATGATTAATTTTGAGAGCTGTTGTACTTAAGCTAAGACTCTATACGATCAACTTTAGATATTGGACTTACACTTGGAATTATATATAGATAGCTAGTCACTGCTGACACCTTAGCTAGGTTATGGCAAATTGTTATTGACTAAATTATGATGGGGATGGCTTGCATATGAGCTGGGTTTTATTAGCTATATAGAAATAGATATATTAATATATATAAAATACATAATCTTATTTATCTATTATGCTCAATAGCACTGGAATGCCAACTCCAAATCCTTTGCATTTGGCTCCTTTGTTAGTCAAGACTGCAACTGCAACTGCAACAGCAACAGTGGCACATCTACACTGTTATATTGATGGCACTTGGCTTGCGAAGCGTAAGTTGGCCGCTTTGTGCTGACAAATCGAAATTTGTTATAAACGCAATTGATAAATCCCACAGCGACGACGACACTTGAGCTAGAGCCACAACTGAAGCCGAAGTTGAAGCTGGAGTAGAAGCTGGAACAGGGGCTGCTGGCATATCCAGAAGAGAGGAGGCCGCTGTCATGGCAGCCAAGTAGCCAAGCAGCGAGCCAAGTAGCTGTAAAATGCCAACAATTGCCGCAGAGCAAAGCTTTGGCGCAGCAACGTAACAACGAGGGGGAAATTGGGAGGGGCAGCTGGCGCTGCAGCCGCATAACCAAAGCGGATTTCAAATTGACGCAAAACAGACAAAAAGCAAATCGTTTAGGCGCAACCCACCCACTGGGAGATGGGGCCAAAGGGAGCGGTTCAAAATATGTGTAACGGAGCCAAGTTCCCCAAAACATATACCCAAAAGAGGGCAAAGCCGGCAATACAAATGCCAGGCAAAGACAGCCAGACAGGAAGACAGCCAGCCAGCCAGCTAGCCGACTGAAGGATGCTTTGGTTAGCATAACAAAACCACAGAAAAGCCGGGATACTCCTGCAGGAGAAACGATGACGATATTTTTGTTGTCGTTGTTGTTGCTACTCTTCTTATTATGGCTGCTTTTTCCTTGTTTTTTTAGTTGGAGACGTTGCAGCGTATTTTTAAAGAAATAGCCAAAATATGTGCTCAGAATGAATATTGTATAAATTTCGCTTAGGATTTTGGATTTTGATAAAGAGTAGCATAAGTTGCTCATCTCTTATAATTGATAGCTAGTACTCTAAATAATGTCTTCACTTATACATTGAATATGTGTTTGATTTTTCAAATTCTTGTATTTAAACACGAACTTTTTGTGTTTAATCTTACAATGATAAGATAGTGGAAGAGGACTCTTATCGAGAAGAGAATACAATGGAAACTTTCGTGACCGTAATAAGACTATATACGATAATAATTCTATTAATCAAATATAATTATAAGTCGAATTTCATTAGAAGCAGTCTATAAGGTAATAGATAGGATAAGCATAATTGTAGATAGTAGTTCTCAATAAAACAGCATAGCTAAGCATAATGTCAGTAAAAGAGAGCTTGTATTCTCTAACTATTACAGACGGATATGGCTAAATCGACTTGGATGTTGATGATGATCAAAAAAGTATGTATAAAGTTTGTATAAAGTATATATATATCCAAAGATTTTTCCTCACTCTTACAAAAATTGTAGCTGTTTTTAGGGTTCGTGGATTAAAAATACAATTTATCCATTGAAAAAAAGCAGATATTTAGCAGAAATGAAAACTGAGCACACGTGCCTTCTCTGTATGGCAGCTTTTGTGTGTGTCTGTTGAGCTGTGTCGTGTGTTGTGCGTGGTGTTAAAGTTTATCAACATATCGTCAACATTTTGCTGCTCGTCTGTCCGTTGGCCCAAAGAGTGAGAGCACTCGCTCATATTTATTTATGGCTCAGCTTAAGCTCAAAGCATGTATACGTACATGAATACATATACATATACATATACATATACACACATATATATTTCAGCTTGACCACAACTTGGATGGAGTTCAAGAGTGGAGAAAAGAGAAACTTGCAAGATGCAAGCAGAAAGCAGCTGACAGTTTGGCAGCTATTTTACAATGTTATCAATATTTTCTTTTCTTTTTTGTTGTTTGTTGTGCTTTGTTTGACCCGGATTTAGCCATGTACACTTGTTGTAAACAACAACATTAACGAGGGTCTTGAGGCTGGGGCACGTGGAAAGTGGCAAAGGGGAAGAGACACTCATAAGCATTCATTGGAAATCCTTTTCGATTTATTTGCGTATTCAAACGGAAACATTTAAAGTGATTGCGGATGCAAATTTTTGCCGAGTATGTAGCATAGAGTAGGCGGCAGCTGTGTAGCAGCCATACAAAGTGCCCCAGCCACTTCCCTTTTACTTTTCTCTCTTTTTTTATCTGCTGTTCTTGTTGTTGTTGTTGTCGGTTGCACAGATCTGAAAGCGTTTACCAGCGCGTGCCTGGCAACATTTGCGGTTTTTGCGCCAACTTCACACATTTTCTTATGTCGGTTTCCTGGGTTTTGCTTTTCCTCTACTCTGCTTTGGTTGGCCTTCTTTTTGTTGTCGTGGTGCCATGAGAATTTCAATTTTAACACAGGTGCTTGTGTTTGCTAAAAAAATAAATATCAATCATACGCCTCAATAGGAGCAGTAGCAGCAGCAACCTCAAAGTTCGCATATTTTTTGTTGTTGGGTTGCGTTCACTTATGAATTTGGTATGATAATTTGTTTGGCAATTAACAAAAACGCTGTTGATTTTCATTACGGTCATATATGAAAACAAATTTGAAGAAAACTAACTGATTAGATAGTAATGTAGTTTAACATCCAACAGCTTCTGTTAACAAGAGAGCTGTGTCTAAAAATATCAGTTTAAAATCGGTAAAAACAAGTGAGAAATATAGAGATAAAAGCTTCTAGCAACACTTTGTTATATCAACAAGTGAAACTGCTCTTTAGCCGAGAGTGCGTGACTGGGAGATACTCTAAAGAATTGCTGATGGTAGTTTGTTCAATTTTTCTTGTCCGATGTTAATAAAATTTCTACAGTCGATCAATAATATATCCAACTATAATATATATCAATTAGAAGGGAATATCTTTACAATTGTACCTTTTATTGCCGTCGCAAATCAGTTGCAGTTATCGATAAAATGAGAGAAGCTTGAGTTGCCTAAGGTATGATTTCGGGTTCATTGATTGATGGTGATCGAGAATATATATACTTTATGTTGTGGTAACTGTTCTCTCCTGCTGGCTCCACACTCTTGCACAATTTCATGTCACATTTCTATGGGTTCTGCGGACAAAAATAATCTCATCTTGGAGTAGATAACGAGGTGGAAATCTACATATAAAAACTGTAAAAAGAGAAGATAGTGATGTTTGGGGGGAGAGAGAGAGATAGGGAGAGAAAGAGAGAGAGAGTAATCACAATTTAAGTTGCTTATCTCATCTAGACCCAGCCCAATTAAGCAGAGAATGTTTGGACATAGGTTAAGGTGCTTCAAAGTTGTATTTAAGATTAGCTAGCTTGCGGGGTTGTCAGATATTTTCGGTTATTTTCATGAATTTCGATATACTCAAAACTGAAGCTCAAACAATATGAGCTTGTCGGCTTTTTGCATAGATGTGAGAGTCGTTACTTGTTGTGCCCATTAATTTCGCACTAAACTACTAAAAACTGTTAATGAGTCTCAATTGTTGGCTGAGTCTACAAAATCCACATGCAAGTGATATGCGTGGCGGGTGGTTCGGGGCGCAGATAACCCCATGATCCGCTACTGATCAGCTGTTCCACTTGTAGTTATGGAAGCACTTTAGGGGCAATTGGTGTTGACAGCGTGCTAATTAATTTGTGGCGAGAAGGCAAAGACAACAATGCGATTATTCGTATCGTATATATATATATATGTATATATTTATATATATATATATATATATATATATATATATAGTTGTAGATAAGCAAGTGTTTTGGTGTGTCGCTTAACCGGTCAAATAAATTCTTGTCCATCGGCGACAGCAATCAAAATATAATTATATACTTTAATCAGTTTCAGATTGCAGGTTGCACGTCACATCAAATAGTAATAGCTGCAAGTAATCAATACGTTCAGTACACTCAGCAAAAAAATCACCCAGAAATTTAGAAAATCTCGCCATAATGAAAACCGTCCTGAAAACTAGAAAAATATTCTGGTTTTTAGAAATGATATAGAAACTTCTAAGGAAGACGGGACAAGAGAAAATTTTTCAATACAGAAAACAAATTCTGGTTTAAGAAATAATTTCTAAATATACGGAAATTATTTTTAATATTCGAAAAACCCTCTTTCTTCTTTGTGAGAAACATTTTATTAAGACATATATTTAAAGAAGAATGGAAAGTAATACGATTATTTTTTTTAAATATATTCTGAAATTCAATAAGAAGTAATACTATAGTCTCCCCCGACTTTTATATTAGACTTGCGCTGAGTTTGAATCATAAATTATATGAATTTATAAACTATCTAAAATGAGTGTAGATGTGAAATCTTACGATATTCATTTTTAATTATAATATAAGTAACAAAAATCATATTGAATGGAATGTACAAATAAAAAAAACTCTTTGAAAATTGAAGGTAAATAAAACCTAGAATTCAGAATTATTTCCTTTCAGAAATATACTTTCTGAGTAATAAACCGATCTGAAAATGCATTACAATTTTTTTCCCTCAGTGCAACGATTTTCAAATTGAAATTAGAATATCACTAAAACAAAACAATTTGAATAAAATAGGTAGGTGGCCAAGCATTCCGCATGCCGCATGCCGCATGCCGCAGACGAGCTGCAGAATGTAAAATGGTAAAATGTTTGCTGTTGGGGGAAATTCAGTGCTCAATAATTCAGCAGCAGAGCAGCAGGCAAATTAAATCAAATAGTTGCACACACACACACATATCATGCGAATAAAAAATCGTCGTTGTCTTTGTTGTTGTTGTTGTTGATATAGAGCACATCGCACATACGCCCCGTTGTCGTTGAGCTTTTCTACTTACGTTGCTCGCAGTTGGCGTTGGGCATCAGTTCGAGCATTGCGCTCAGCGGCAACAGATCGTTATTGTTGAACGTGCCATCAAACTCCCTTTCGCGTGTGTGTGAGAGTGTGTGTGTGTCAAACTTAAAAGTGCACAAATATTTACGCACATCAAAGTAGAAAAAGAGAGACAAACAGCTAAAAATAGAGACGAACTTCCTCTGTCTGTGGCACCTTCTAGCTTATAATTCCACGCGTGCTCCACGGACCACGTCAAGGATTTGGCTGCACCAACTCCGACTTGGACTCCCGGAGAACTCCTTTTTTTGTTCATTCTTCTAATTCAGCTGCTTCACAATGCATACGCCGACGGGCAAAGTGTCGGGCTACGTTTGCCTGATGATTGTGCAAATCATTTTCCTGGCACTTTTTCTGGCTTTTCGTGCGTTACGAAAAGTCTGCTCTTCCCGCGCCCCTCGTCTATGCCACAGCCCAAGGCGACGGATCAGCAAACGAACACGTTTCAAAATATCCGCGTGAGTAGCTATAATTTCCTATTGCTCTTCCTGCACTTGCCCCGCCTCCATCCCCTTTAACCCATTCCCTCCCCCTTCCTGTATTTTTGTGCAACTTTTGTCATTGTTGCTTCTAAAATCAGTTGGTGCGCTTTAAATTGTCACATAATGTGACCAAGACTGTTGCTAAATCAAGTGAGTGCTAGTCGAGAGTGAACGACAGGCAGATACCCTGTATGTGTGTGTGTATTTTAAAAATATTAACAAACAAATGGAAAAAAGTCAAAGAGGCCGTGAAAAATTTTTAAATATATTTGATTCGCCCTAAGTCAATCAACAGCTTTTATAGGCACGAGTGAGCGACTGGGAGATACCGAGTATGTGCCTTTGTCAAATAATTTAAGTTGCCTGGTATTAAAATGTTATGCAACTACTTAAAAAATTCTTAAAATAAAGAAACATAAGTTAAAGGCAATAAAACAATCAAAAGTGTTTATCAACTTATTATTAGCTGTAAATAAATCGAAAGCTTTACTAATCCCAAGAGACAGACTAAAGACACCCTTCTTGTTTGATTGGCAGAAACTTAATGGTTGTTTGTTATAAATATTTATAATAATATATATTTATATAGTAGATATTTATAATAATGTTTATAGCAAACATCGACCAGTTTTTTAAAAGGAAAACAAATATGCGAACAAAACTTTATTAAAAATAAGTCAATAAGGCAACGGTATATGTTTACAAACTTTTTTATCAATGTAAACAGCCATTATAAAAATAAATAATAAAATCAATGAACAAATATTGCTTAAAATGCATCATATTTAAACTTGCTATTACATTAATTAATTAAATGAAATATTTTTTTACCATTCTGACTATAAATAGACGGGCTTTTTTTAGTCAGGGGGATGGATTATTTGATGTAATCAACACGTCTAACTGACAAGCAGCCTGACTGAACGGGGAAAGCCCATCACCATTTGACTGATAAACTGACCAACTAACTGACAGTCGGTCAGCAGGCAACCTGCCCACGATATTGTCATTATTTCGGTGACTGTGACACGAACTTTGATATCGGTTGGGTAACTGTCAGTCAAGAGGTAAAGGGGGGTATGAGGAGAGTGAATATCATCGTCACATGTCTTGATGAGATTGCGTGACATCTACAACTGATAAGCATTTATGATCCTTTTCAATCGACTGACTCAATTGATTTTACAAGCTTATAAGTGCGTGACTTGATGTGTCATCAAATAAGACGAACAAAGAGAGATAGAGAGAGAGAGAGAGAGAGAGAGAGAGAGAGAGAGAGAGAGAGAGAGAGAGAGTCGGAGAAGACGGGATAAACAGAGATAGAGAGATATATAGAGAGGCAAAGGCGAGATTTATTGATTTCAGAATATAATTATGTACGCCTAAATGGAACATAAGCCCAAACGTAGCTGAAAATACGTCAAAATGATACAGTCGAGAGAGCTCGGCTAGCAGATACCCTAATAAATAGATGATAGGCTTGCTCATGGTAGTTTGTGCAATAGCAAATTTGATTGAGAAAATCTATGGATTTTATACAATCTTAATGCAATTTTTAAAGTTGATCAATGTTTTCTGATATCGACAAGTTCATACAGACAGACAGTCAAATATTGATGGTGATCAGGCATATATATCCCTTATGCGGTTGTATATGCTTTCTTCTGCCTGTTAAATACTCTTCCACAACTTCATTATACATATAAAGAAGCTACCGTTAATACATATTAAAAGAGCTTTTGGGTCTGCTGCTGCTATTACCCCATCCAATTCACAAAACTCAACCTGAGACTTTTGTTCTCTATGGCCTCTCCCCAACCTCCCTGAACCCTGCCCCTGTTTTGTGTGCCAAGTGTTGGCGGCTCATAAATAAATGAAGTTATTTTTCGCATAGTTTGGCAAGTCCCGCGGCAGCAATTGCATTAATTACTTTTTGCCAAAGGCGACAAGTCCAAAAGCGAAAACCGAACCAGAAACCGAATGCGGAGCGGAACGGAATGAGAATGGGAATGGGACTGGCACATAACGAGGCCGCTCACACACACACACCAATGAATAATTAAAGTCATTAATTTCAATTTATGCAAATGCGTCTGTAAACAACTTGTTGCAATTCATAATAAATAAATTAAGCCGTATTTCACACTAATTGCACCCCCACACACACACACACACACATACACACATACGTGGCACGAGCCCGGTTACAGCTGCGTATCCGGGTCTGTTTCTCTCTCTCGATATTGGTGACATCAATCTGAATGCAATTGACTTTTGGCAGCAGACAATTGGGCAACTAATTGAAACGACTTGACTCAATTAATAAGCGTGCCAAGGTGCCTTCCCCTCACACACACGCAAGAGCCACCCCTTACACCCCCTTACATCCTTTTATTTTGCCCAAGTTTAACCCACTTCCTTCCCCTTCTTACCTTTGCAGAGTTCCAGGACATTCAGGTTATGATATTCATTGGCTTTGGCTTCCTGATGACCTTCCTGCGCAAATATGGTTACAGCGCCACAGGTTATACTCTGTTCATGTCCGCTTTGGTGGTACAGTGGTCCATCCTCATGAAGGGATTCCTGCACATGGAAGCTGGCAAGATCAGGTGAGGAAATAGAAACAACAAACTACAGAAAAAAACAAATGTTGAATGCCAATAAAAAAAAAAAATAAAGTATTTACTGTTTTTAAAAATAATTTAGTAAATTCTCAAAAAATACAAATGCTTATTAATAATACAAATATCAAAAAAGACAATATAGGACTATCTTCTGATGCTGAAATTTAAGAAATTTAGGAACAACTGGCTCGAAAAATATAGCGATTTAATAGAATTTAGGCCGATTATTAAATAAAAAAAAACACTTTATAAACTTTGAAAAAACACTTATTATTTTAGAAAGGCAGAAACTTGACTAAAAACAGACTTTCTTCATAATAAGCTAAGCAATTCTCAACACTTCAGGTATAGTTTTCTACACACTCAGATAAATCCTGCACACTCACTCAGAGACCAGAGCATTGCCCAAACAAATAAGTTTAAGAAAAAATACACTCAAGTTTTAATGAATTCATCAATTACTTTAACTCCAATAGCAGGATAAGAAACGAAAAGTGATGAGGGGGCTGCAGAGTAAGGGGATGTGGAGTATACTCGACTCAACTACTTACACTAAGTGGGCGCAGCACAAAAAAACAAACAGACTACTCAAGTTTTAAAGAGTGTTGCTTTCTATGCTGCATTTGCTGCTTTCTAATCGGATTGTGCTCACACTTATTCAATCTGTGCTTCTCGCTTCTATTTGCAGTCTATCGCTGGAGAGCATCATTGATGCGGACATTGCAGCCGCTGTGCCACTAATCAGCATGGGAGCCCTTCTGGGCAGGACTACTCCTATTCAATTGCTTTGCATGTCCATTTTTGAGATCGCTCTGTTCGCAGCCAATGAATATTTGGCATTAAATATTTTAAGCGTAAGTTAAACCGCTAATTAAATTCTCTAAAAGAGGAGAGCCTTTTAATAAGGATAGTCTGCTAATGATAAAGGTGTGGAGAAGTTATTTGTTTAGCATTTAGTTAAGATATGTTATAAACAGTCATGATTTTTATAAGAGAACTCATTTTTTGGTAAATTAGCTGATCATTATAGAAAATTGCTTAGCCTCTCAAAGCTGTTTCCTTCAATAGGTCACACCATTTGTGACACAGCTTTAAAACCCTCTCCTGGGATATAAATATTGGGAGTATTTAAAAGAGTATCTATCACTTCACATAACCCAAACCCAAATTCCTTTCTCAAATGCAAACAGATCTGCGATTGTGGTGGTTCCATCACGGTGCACGCTTTCGGCGCTTACTTTGGCCTGGCTGTGGCTCTAATGCTGCGTCCGGCGAGTGACCAGAATGAGGCTGGTAAGCATGAGGGAGCCAACTATACGTCGGACATATTCGCAATGATCGGCACCACCTTTCTGTGGGTCTACTGGCCCAGCTTCAACTCGGTGCTGGCCGATGGCGCCGGCGGCGAACGGGCAATCTTGAACACGTTTCTATCATTAGCGGCGGCAACAGGTGAGTCACGTCAAAGCGAAGGCAATTAGCTTGGGCTTGGAGTGCAGCCCTTAAATGCCAGGGTTGCGGCACAGCGTTAATTGTAATGTGGACTCATCTATTAAATAAGGATTGAATACGGAGCAACTGCTGCTGGTTGCTCCTGGTTTTTGAGTTCCTTATGCATGCAACTCACAAACTAATTAAATGTCAAATAGTTTCGTTAACACATTTGAAAATTTATTTTAAGCACGTAGCACACATAAAAACCGAGCCGGAGCTGAAACAGGAGCAGGGGCAGGAGCAGCCTGTCCAACATTAAGCTGTATCTATGTGTGTGTGTTTGGGTCAACTGTGTGTTCTGACCATGGCCATGTTTCTACATGTGCTAAAAGCAAAAACAACCCAACAAGACAAGTCTACCATTTGCACATAGACCAGGCCAGTGAGAGATAGATAGAGAGAGGGGGCGTGGTGTACAGTGGTGAGGGGGAGAGGTGGCATGGGACAGTCTGTGCAGTTGCCTCGCTTGCTCGGTTAATGTAAATAACAAAACACAAATTAAATGTATACAAAGGGCGCCAAGGCAATGACTACAACAACAAAAACAGGCAGCTGAGATAAGCCAAACTGCAAGCGGCAAACAGGGACTGGTTAAGAGGCGTAGTCTGGTGCAGGGTGGATCGGAAAGGGGAAGCGGGGTACAGGTCTGGTTGTGGTACTAAAATTGTGGCTCTGCTCGGCAGCGGCGACACTGGGGCGTCTGTGGCCAGAGAGACTGGGCCATGATATTAAAGCCATCACCTAAAATAGCGCAATAGAAAAGCACGAAGGGTGTGGGAATGTAAACGACTAGCGAATACCCTGTGGTAGTTTGAGGTATGAGCTTGTCAATACACATGTGAGAGCTGTGGCATGTGTTTGTTATATACTTTTATGGGAAAATCATTTTACATTTAATCGAATTCGAACAACAATTAAAATTAGAGCAAGGGATCTTTTGCAGAGAGTGATCGAGTTGCAAATACCCTACAGTAATTCACAGAAATGACCAACACATATATTAAATACTTTAATTATTATATTAACATTACTTTATAACAATTAGTGCATACATCAATCACCACAATAAAGGTTATTGTAGAAAATAATCGATTTGTAAGGAGAGCACTTATCCAAAGAGACCTTCAAATTAAAACTTTTATAAACATAACCAATTTAAAACCCTGTTCACAATTTATATTTTAAGTGTAGTACTGTTCTAGATATAGCGCCATGATCAAAACTCCCTTGCTTTTGAAAATCGATTGAGTTTTGAGAAAGTTATGGCTGTATGAAATAGATCTGCATCTATCTATTTTTTTTGTTCTAGAATTATGATATTTTATGGGGCTAAGATTTGTAGACTAGTTTCTACTAATGTGGGAAAATTATTGTAATGAGAATCGCCTTTCTCCATTAAGAAACTTTCGGTTGAAAATTGAGTTCTTGTAGGAAAAACTCTGTTGTTTTCAAAATCTTTAGCAAACTCAGGTTATGACATAGAGCACGTTGAAATATGATCTTTCTAGCTTTAATTAAGCATAAATCAAACAGAAATTTAGACAAATTGCACTCGCTAAGCAATATGCCCCACTTTCAGGAGGTATTAAGATAGGGAGACATTTTATGCGGAAGGATGTGCGATTAGTTGAGTCAACGTGGAGCTCGACTCGCTTTGGGCCAGCACTGGTCTGCCTTGTTGTGTTGCCTTAATTAAACTAAAGCTGGGATTCAGTTCAATGCTGAAATTAGAGGCGGATCCAGGGGTGTCTTCAACTAGCCGCGCCTGCCCTCTTCTAATCCCCTGCTCCGCTCCTGGCTTGTTGTGCAGATGCGGGTGCGACATGCATAGAAAGCAGACGACGATGGTGTCCAAAATACGCCCCAGTTGTAGTTGCTGTTTTTGTTGTTGTTGCTGTTTTCACACCAAGTTCGAAACGAGCCTCGTCCTGGTCCTGGTCAGTGTCCTTGTGGCCATTGCCCGTATTGAGAAGGGGATGGCTGGGAGGTGTGTAGGGGGAGGGGCAACAACGTTAAGCACAAAACACATTTTATAGTCACACACACAAGTGACACCATTGGCGTTAATTTAAATTGTTAAATGTGCAACAACAACAACAATAAGAACAACAGCAAGAACAACAACAGCCAGCTCGAAACAGCTGACGCCCCTCAAAATCTCGGCTGCTTTTGGCTTGGCTTTGCTTTAACTCCCTCTGGTTGTAAAAAAATACAGTTTAATTGATTTTTAAGCCAGAATTTGAGCCTGTGCCTGGACACAATGTCAAAAGCTGTTTTTAGAAATTGTTGTGGGTTCCACTTCCAGTTGTGATTTGCCACAGAAACCGAGCGTAGCTGCGTATTAACTAATTTATGCAAATTATTATTGCTGCAACATATGTTGCACCATAAAATGGAGATTTTGTAAGTATTTAGTGTTATTTTCGCCTAGATTTATGCTTTTTTGCCCGCATAATAAACCCAACACAATACAGCGGGACAGTAGAGCACTTGGCTTGTTTACATTTTTATTAGTTTTGTGTTTATGATCTGCGGTTGTGGATACTGTGTGAATCCCATTTGGCTTTCGCTTGGATGATTTACAGACAGTGATTGCTATTTGCAAACCAACTGATGCATTATTTTCTGCTACGCAATATTCTTACTCAATTCCATTATTCCCATATATGTATATGTTCAATGAACAATCCAAGACTTAGCCACATTTACTGTCATACCTGCTTCCTTCTAGTTTTTATAATTTTCAATAAGAGGCAAGCTTTTCGATTGTTAGATTAACAAAAATGAAATAATAATAGGTAAGCTTTAAAAGATAAAACTAATTTATGCAATATGCAAAACAGAATTGCTGATATTTTAAAACATAACTAGAAGGAGTACTTGAAGTATAATTGCCTCTCAATTATAAATAAGTATAGTTAAGTGCCAAAATATTAACCAAACATCGATGCCAATGATCGATATTGGATATTTGGGCACCCAAAAGCCGTGAGAATCTTAAACTTGATGAGAAAACAAATAGTTAAATATAATAAAAAAAAAAATAGATGAATGAAATAAAAATAATTAATAGAATATATAACAAAGAAAAAAAACTCTGCTGCTATTGATTTTTGTGTGTTGTAGATTTGTGTTTCTATATTTTTTTCTTGGTTTTTTTTGCAGTGACCACCTTTGTTGTATCGGCGCTTGTCAGCCATGATAATAAATTGGATATGGTGCACGTGCAGAATTCGACGTTGGCCGGCGGCGTTGCCGTTGGCACCGTTTGCAACTTGCTGCTCGGAGCGCATGGCGCTGTCCTAATTGGCATTATCGCCGGCACGATTTCGGTGCTCGGCTATCGCTATTTAACCGTAAGTTCAACAACTACACCACCACCTCCCCCCTCTTGGTGCACACTAATGGACCAACATCCTGGCGAACGAGTCCTGTGTGGCTAATCCAAACCCAAAAAAAAAAAAAAACACACAAACGTCCCTCCATTCAAATGGACCGAGTCTGAGTTGCAGTTAGGAGTCTGTGCGGATGAGGCGTAGCACCTGTGTCCAACTTTGCACACTCTGGACGCGCTGCGTTTTAATTAGTGCGCCTAGCAAAAATTTTGACGCTAATGAGTAAAGTTGGTCTGCCCCTTTGGCGGACACGACGACGACTTCCGAGTGGTGCAGGATGAGTCTAAATTCACCTGCGTAGTTGTAAATAAATTTACACACTCTCATTAAAAAAGGGCATTAAGGGTATAATGAAGTTGTTCAAGGGCAAAAGGAGGCACCTTCGATCCTATCAGAAATATAGTTCATTATAACTTGCTGAAACGTATTTTTATATTGAAGAAAGTACTTTAAGCAAAACCAACTTTTTATAAAACAGTGTATTAGCTAGTCTAACACTTGAGGCAACAGCAGATAGATAGGGAGAGAGAGAAATTTATAATTTACTTTATATTAAATTTACTTTATATCCCTATTTAATACTAATTACTATTTACAGCCCTGGATGACTAGCAGTCTCCGTCTTCATGACACTTGTGGCGTACACAATTTGCACGGAATGCCCGCCTTAGTCTCGGCCATTGCCTCAGCCGTTGTTGCCTCATTGGTCACTCTAGAGAATTATCAATCGGATCTGCAGGACATATTCCCAGCCATGGTGGGCAGCAATAGCACAGATACCAAAATAATGGGTGTAAGTTTGCAAACTGTGCAACCATTAAACAATTTCTTGAAATTTTAGTAAATGGCTCCACTTTTGCTGCCAATGATTGGTCACAATATTATTCAGAAAGTATATTACCAAAATACGTGTTTGTGGATTTCTAAAAACTTGGGTTTACAAAAAAAAATATATTAATATCAAATTATATTTATAAAAATGGAGAATCTTTCCGTTTTTCAAAATTTTTTCTGAGTGTAATTGTATATATTAATCTAATGAGCAACTCTTGCAGGGATTGGGACGCAATGCGAGCACACAGGCTGGCTATCAATTGTTTGGCATTGCACTGACGCTGGTCATCGCCATTGGAGGCGGCATTTTAACGGGTGAGTCTCGCATTCCTTATTAGAACCAGTAGCATTCACTTAGTTTGTTGAATCTTTGCAGGTGCTGTGCTGAAGTATGTCAATTTCCGAAATCTGCAAAAGGATGAACAGCATCAGGATGAGCAGTATTGGGAGGTGCCCGCCGTGGAGAACAAAGAGGAATAGTTGAGTGCCCGATTCACTGTCCTTGTCTTCACTTTACTGTACAACACACACATAAACATCCACACAGAACGTTTCGAATATGTCTTGCTTAAATATTATATCATTATTACTATTGTATTGTATTGTAATCGTTTTTATTATTATATTCTGTTCTATTTGCCATGTTTGCCTGCACACATTGTTTGACTAGTTTGTAGACTATTCTGATTATTATTTGATTTATTTGCCTCTTTTGCAGTGAACTCAAATTTACTGAAGAGCTTTTGTTGTAAAGCCCCTAATCGACAACTGACAACTTGTTTCACTTAATTTTTTTTTTCTGACATTTGTGTCGCATTCAATTAAAAAGTTGACAAACGAAAAATTTACACATTTAATTAGCGCTAAAATAGAAAACGAACAAAATCTGAATAAAAAAAACTTACGCATGTAAATTGTATTAGCAATGATAAATATTTTAATTTGTGACAACTATTTCTCTATCCCTCTTTTTTCTGACTGCACTCGCTTATTTTAATGGAATTGAAATCATGCCACGCCAAAATAAAAAAAGTTTATATATGCCACATGAACTTTTGGCTGGCGCCAACTTTGAGCCGGCAAATGTTGGAGCCAACTTTAATTGGCGCCCATTTTTGTTACGCAACTGGAATGCAATTGTGCCCGCCAACAATTTGTATGTGCGGGGTGTGCTGCACTAAGGGGAAAGCGAAGGAGTGGGGGGGCTTGGTTGGGGCTAATTAAGTGGCCCAAGACAAAGTGTCAACTAATTAGCTGACTTTTAGCCAAGACACTTGCTCGGTTCCGGGCGACAGCTAAGCCGGAGATTAGCGCACCTGCTAAATAAAATACTACAACAACAAAGGCAAAAACTCGATAATGTTTTTTAAATGCAGGTGCACTCCCTCTCATCCCTTACCACGCCCTTGTCTTGACTGCATTACATTAAGCTGTTGGCCAAGTTCTTAGACGTAATTCGAGCGTGGCGAAAACAAAAAAAGGTCGAACATCAAATTTGATTGGCAGCAACAGGCAAAGTTGGGAAGGAGGGTAGGAAGCTAGGGTTGGGTTCAAAATTAAAACAGAATATCTATATAAATATATATAGAATCGCGCCAAGATAAAATGTTGTCGAATAAGTTAAAAGAGTGTACTACAAGTTAGTGTTGAAGTGTGAAACACATCGATGAAGTGGTCTTTAATAATAACAATATATGTATTCTGTCTTGTTAGTTTATATGCACAAGCTAATCTCGTTTATTTTAGACACCTCAATTTTATTTAAATTGATCGATAAGTGCAAAGAGATCGAGTATATCGATATTAATCAATTTACGATAGCACTGAATTACTCAATTGTTAAAATATAGACTTCCAATTGATATAAAAGATACCTTGACAGTTTATTTATACACTTTAAAAACGGATATACTTAAAAGCTTAGATCTTAAAAGAAACACAGATTTGGTTAACCAAAGCGTAATTTTGTATTGAACCAACAGCTGTTTTCATGGCAAGGCCGTAGCCAGCTATGGGCAGGGCAGCTTTATACTTTATAAAGCGATTTAGACTTAAATTAATTAGAAATTACAATGTGGTTATCAGCCTCGCCGAGCTCTCTCGCCTCGCGCATTTTTGCTTATTTTCGTATATATTTAAGTACTCAATTTAAAGCCGAAAGACTTAATTTAAATACACATTTGTATATGTATATATGGGTGTGTGTATAGACGTTGATAGGGAGAACACGTGTTGGGCCGACTATTAGCAAAAACTATTTGGTCGAGCGAGATGAAAGGACGACAAAAGCGAGCAGTCAAATGAGTGGCCAACGATGCCAAGGAGCGAGCATTGGAAACGGAATTGGAAGTGGAAAGGGAAGTGGAAAGGGGAAGTGAAACGGGGGGGATTGGAAGAGACTGGTTAGACTGGTAGGATAGTGCAATTTGGCAAAGTATTCCCCGGTGCGCCGTTTGACTATTTTGCCAAAGAAGGCAATGGTTCGAAACGGACCAGACTACGTCTCTCTGAGTGTGTGTGTGTGTGTGTGTGGCGATTGGCTGTGCGAGTGTGTGTGTCGATGTCTAAGTGCTGTTTTATTGCATGTGGTTGCCATCTCTACGCAGACAGAACAGACAGTTGGACGTTCTCACACGTCTATAATAATTAACAGTATGAAAGACAGCAGCCACAGCAACAGCAACAAGGACAGGGTGGCAACGCCAGCTGGCCGAGTGGCAACCCTTTTATTGTAGTTGTTGTTGTTGTGCCACAAAGTATGCAGCATATTTTATGCATGTGCAACTTTAACAACACGACAGCCATAAAAAGAGCAGCAATAGCAGCAGCAACAACTGCAATTAAGGCAACTTTAAACAGCGTTGACAACTCTGGCCCGACATTGACTCTGACTCTGTCTCTGAATTGTCTACGGCAACAAATTGTTGAACATACATAGTTGTTAGAAAGAGACAGAAGGAGAGAGAGAGAGAGAGAGAGAGAGAGAGAGAGAGAGGGAGAGAGAAGGTGGAGGTTAAGTTGTGGAATTTGTTGCAGGCAGTTGCAGGAAGCTCGCAAAAGCTCAGCAACGGAAACTGCAACAGCATTTTGCAACAGTAATTTTTTGGGTGTTGTTTCCGGTGACGTTGACATTTTGTGCCGTCTTTGTTTACGGTCCGGCGAAACGGGCGTACCACCCCACCGCACCCCCTCGTCTTAATGTCTTAGCGAGCAGGCAGCACCGTCCCTCATCCCTCGTCCTTTGTCCTGGCACGTGGCTGAGCAGCGCACTTGCAAAATTAATGATTTACGTTTAAGTGTCATTGGTATTTAATTATTTAAGCGATCCCAAGTCGTTTAAGTTTGTAACGTGCGACCTCCCCTCTCCCACCACCAATCCCTCAAGAGCACCCCTGACTCTCCTCTGCCCCCCACTCCGTCACTATTCGAGCCCTTTTCAATAGCCTGGCAGCGAACAGAAAGATGAAAGATAGCCCGGCTTAGAGTTGAGCGCGTGACAATAAACTCTTGGATAGGAATATAAATATGGTCAGCAAATATTATGTTTATATTGAATACCATTTATGGTTTTTTTTTTTTACTCCAAGAAGGAAAGGAATTAGCATAAAAATGGTAAGGTATAATTTTCATTTTATTTTAAAAATCATATGGGTTTATTTTCTAGTTCCAAGAAAAAAATAAATATAATAATTAAAATTGAAGTTAACAATAAACATCATCTGGGGTGTTGCTAACATCTAAAAAAAATGAATTTCAGTAAAAGCAATAATCTAAATTGTATTTATTGCGCTACAGTCTCAAAATTGAAAACCAGAATTTATAGCAATCCTTTTCAGATGTTGCATTGGTCAAAAATTATCAAGCATTTATTTAGAAGCATATTAAATTATGAAGACTGTAACGCACTGAGGAAGACATAGTATATATATTCATTATCAGCATAGTATGATGAGTCGATATAGCCGATATCCGGCAGTCTGCTTGTTTCTATTCAAATGTGTTAGGCTTTTTAGATTTATAGTAGAATTTAGATGACGGCAATTTGACTGCTGTCTACGAGGGATTACATACCCTTGTATACTTCAGCATACCTAAGCCCTTCTTTCATGTAAGTGTCTACTGTAGCAGTCTAAGCTGTACAGTGGTACCTATCAGTATGCGTCCAGGCACGACGCCAACTCTGTGGCTTGTGGGTGAAAGGTAAAGGAATTGCTGTTAAGGATTGCCAACATATGCGATACACACATACTGCCACACACACTCACACACATGTGCGTGTGTTCACCTGGTCGCGCTTTCCATTTCGTTTTTGGCCATCTTGCTCCACCCAACCACTTGGCCAGCAACGAAATGTTTGCATGTTCGCCTGCCTTGGCTTGAAGACATAAATATGCGATAGGGCAACGAGGAGGGGAGGGGAGGAGAAAGAAGACGGTAGCAAGGAGTAGCAAGGAGGACAGTTGAACTTGCCACTCGTCGAACCAAGCACAATTTGCAATACTCCTGGGACTCCATATGTGAGTGAGTAACTGAGTGGTTTGGGTGGGTGAGTGGTTCAAAGTGGATGTGGGTGCATGCCTCCATCAGGTGGCAAGCTACTGGCTTCTGGCTTGCATGGCAACAAAACGTTTACTGGATGTGTGGACATCCAGTCAAGGATGGCTGTTTGCAGTTGAGCGAAATTAAATAAATTTTATAACATAATTTACGCTATCAAAACATGCACTCTCCCATCCTGTCGCTGCTGCATTTGTCTTGTATTCCCCCAAGTGTGCACAGTATCCAGGGATTTGCACTCGCATCCTGCTTGCCATTCGGCCACCCTTGCCACCGTTAATGTTGCCAGCAGCGCCGAAATGTAGGCTTCAATTAAATGTTAATTTTACAGAGCTTAAGCATGAAATTTGGTTTGTGCTTGAGTCCTGCTCCTGCTCATCCTGCTCCTGCTAATCCTCCTCCTCCCACTCCTTCACCTCCACCACATCCCACCACCACTCGGGCTGTTGCTGAAACGCTTTTCATTAAGGCTGTGTACATAAAATTGTATATTTTATGGATTCATTTGCAGCCTCACTTTTCATATATCAGCAAATAACAACAACATTTCTAAAGGCGCCAGTCGATATCGCTCGACCGGGAGATACCCTGTACACATTAATGATGAATACAATATTAATGAGTATATTCTTCTTGCTATCCATTTTAAATCGATTCAGTTTATAACAAGGCATTCTAATCCCCGTAAAGCTTTTAATTTAAGTAAGCCTCCCAAATAACTAAAATATGTATACAATATTTTTTGATGTGTATGTCAATCCGATAGCCCATCAATAGTTCCATGTTTCATTCGAATTGGGGCCACATTTCAATAATGAAAGCTGTTTCGCACTTGACTTCAACTTTTCGTTGGAATTTTTCTGTTTTCTGGCTCGAATAAATATGCAGTAAATAAAATGCATTTGATATTTCTCTGCTTCTTTCCCTATGAAAGTATGTTGGGCGGGAGGCGTGGCACACCCAAAACACATTCAAAACACGCTGCGAACTTGAATACATTCAAGTGTCTATAAAAAATTGAGGCGCCTGCCACCCACCCAGACACAAACATACGCCCATAAAATCCATACCGACAGTTTGGGGGCACTTGTAGGTAG